TTAAAAAGCAAGTTGAAAGAAGGCCATATATTCTTTGGAGAAGAAGGTGAATTTTCCTCATATTCAGAAAGGAAAGTTTTAATGCAGAACTTACTTAAAATGGCTGGCCTGACACATTTGGTTAAAAAATCATCCAATAAGTTCAGTGACTCTAAAACAAGTGATTACAGCACAGTTTCACAGATGACTGACTCTCCAGAACTAAAACCAGAGATCCATGATAATCCATCTCCCCTTTGGCCTACAAATCTAGGTCCTGAGCTGCTTCTTGACATTTTGAAACAGAGCCAGTGTGGCCAAAAGATTTCAGGAGCATTTGAAATGATGAAAGAAATAACCCTGAATGAGAATGAGTCAGAGAGAAATGATATTGCATCAAAAGTTCTCCCCTTACAGCTTGAAAATGTCTTCCACATCCTCCTTACTGATGAACATCCCCCCAAATTAGAACTTGGAGATTTGAACAGAAATCTTCCTGCTAGTTTTCAGACTGAAGGTGAACAGACGTATGGCCCTGATGAAAATCCTAAAATCAAAGGCTCCTTTAATTCGGAAAAAATACCAGAAACTGAAATAATAACATCAACACCAAGTGAATCATTGGGCCACAATACAGGTTTCCAAAGTGAGCAGCCACTGGAGACATTACACAACATTTCCCCAAATCAAATGGAATATACTTTGGATTCGAAAGAAGTTGCTTCTGGAAACAGTCCCTTGGCAAAAGTAAGTAATATTTCATTGCTAATATTCTATGTTGAAGCATTAGTCTTTTGAAAGCAATTCCACATTGCAGCTTGGTGTAGGTGAGGCAGTGTTGTAAGTGAAAAGTACTCTGACCTTGGGGTTAACAAACCTGGGTTTGAATCTTGCTTTTCTACATATTATGTGTATGGTGTAGGCATGCCACAACATTTCTCCAGGCCTCAACTTCACCATCAATAAAATGGTGGTAGTTGGTAGAAGGGTGAAGGGGGTAGAAAATTTGATCTCCAAAGCTTTCTTCAAATCCTTTCTCAAATCCTGTGTATGTGGGGAGGATTATGTATCACATTGCTGTGATTATATTATAAAGATCTAAAATTTCCACTTTTGTATAAATCAGATTGGTATTCTTTTTCATTTGTGAGAAAAGCTATTGATTTAGAAATGTCCAAACTCACTTTCAGTTTCCTAGTATATTACAGCTGTGTTTGCAGCACACTGAAAAAATGCATGGATATTTGACTATGCTTCAAGACATGAAACTTCCTTTGGACAACCAGCAGCCCCTGGATAACAATCTAGAAACTTTGAAAAATCAACTTCAGCAATTAGAGGTAAGAATTTTGTGCTGACTGTTCATGACTGTTAAATGAAAGGTGGCTTTTGAGAATGAGCAGTATTCTTTGCAATGATTTTTTTTTAAATTTCAGGTTAATAAATTACCTGCATGTATATGCCATTATAAGATAGTAATTTGCTCTTTTCCATGTTTTCTTCATAGTCATTTGAATTGGGATTGGCTCCATTTTCTGCCCTTGTAAGAAAGGACATAAAGTCGGCTGAAGAATTCCTGAATTCTCATACCGGCAATATTCCCAAAGAACATCTTGAGGATTTAATTATAAGCCACAAGAAGCTGCGAACAGCCTTGTTGTCCCTGTATGATTTATCTTCAAAAAGAACGAAACAAATTACATTAGCTATAGATTCTGAAATGGTAGGCATACACATTTTACATTAAATCAATTGAATTCTTATACTTTTAAATTATACCTTATACCTGAATACACCTAATTTTTCTATCTTTTAACATTTTTTGTTGAGAAATTTAAATGAAAATACTTGGAATTTTTGGTAATGAATGAAAAATGTCATTTCTCTAGTCCAAACTAACAGCTTCCCATGAAGAATTTCTGCATAAACTTCAGAAGTTTTCAGATTGGATTACAGAAAGGAGGAAAACTGTGAATGACCTTGCGGTGGACACTGGTGTTGGGAAAAATATAAAGGAAACTCTGGAATTGCTTAAGGCAAGTGTCACTTCATATGTATGATGAGACATAATTGAAAATTACAAAATTTCACAGGATAATTAGGGGATTGGTAATGGGCCTGTGATTTCCTTGGTATAGGGAACTTCCAGATGTAGAAATATCCTCTAGTAATGCAGTTCAGCCCTTTCTCTACAGCTTAGAATCGTAGGGAATTTACTAGAGCATTGCGAGGTTAAATAATTCACTTGAATTACACAGTCAGGATGTGTCTGAGGTGGGACTTGTCTTCCTGGCTCCAAGTCCACAGAGTCAGTAGTGGAGCCTGGAGAGTTATGAAGACAATACTGATCTGGACAGTTTCCTTAAAACAGGTGTTCTGAGCAGAGTCTCAATCAGAGAAAGGGACCACATAAACAGAGTGAACTTCCAGGGTGAGAAGGACAACCTTGTTTCCTACAGTTATATGTAAATTTCTTGAGGGCAGAGACTTCATTTTTGCTATTGCATCGCTAGCACATAGACTTGTAATAAATAATAATTGACTAAGTGAGACAAACAAACAAAAAAACTGACTGTGGCTTGTGCTGCAAAGGAAAATCACCATCACTTTATAGCCAGTGGATCCTCTGATGCCCTGCCAAAGTTCTACTATACTTTCTGTCTCCCATATATTCTCTTACAATTTTTTTGAATTTATGGTTCAGGAGACAAAAGCTTCATTCCCTATCTTTTGGCATATGACCTTTTGAACCAGTAATGGTCCATGGACAAACACTTTATTTTACATATTCAGGGTACATACATTTCAGAGACTTTGTACTGTGTCCTTTATTGAAGGGAAACACTGTATATGGCTTTGGGGTAAAGCTTTCATTTGACTTCTTCACTTTGAATAGACTATTTAACTTCCCATACTTGTTTCCTAAGCAGTCTGCTATGTAGTTTCAATTGCATCCAACCCTTTGTGGCCTGTTTGAGGTTTTCTTGGCAGAGATACTGGAGTGGTTTGCCATTTTCTTCTCCACCTCATTTTACAGATAGGGAAACTGAGACAAACAGGATGAAGCGACTTGCTTCACACAGCTAGTGTCTGAGGCTGAATTTGAACTCAGGACCTGTCACTCTATCTACTGCACCACCTAGCTGCCTTCCTAAGTAGTGGGTTCAGCTAATTACTGAAATGGCTGATGGTGTTACTAACCAGACATGATTTAGTGGTCAGGGACCTAGATTTGAAGGCTAGAAGACCTCAGTTCAAAGCCTGTGCATGTGACAAGTCATTTAAATTCTCTAGTTTCTTTATCTCTGAGACAGGGACGATAAACACCTATATAATCCTACCCTGTGCTGCTGTTATGTTGTACAGATTATATAATGCCTTCAAAATACTTTCAAACCTCAAAAAGCTATGTAAATGTTATTGTTAGCAAAAGAATAATTACTTAACATATGTGGGCCTTTTATGCATTTTAAATATAGAGAAATAAAGTATTTCCCTTTTGTATTACAGCTTCAATTCAACAAGTAGATACAGAACAAAAACCCTACTAGGAGGGGGAATGTTTTCCATCTGTCTCTTTCTCTACATCATTGTAGAGCTTAAGTGAAATATCCCACTTAAGGAAATGACAGGCATTAGTAAACACCCTTAACTTTTTTGGGACTAATATCATAAGGAAGGGAATATTTAATAAACATGATATTATTAAAATGTACTTTATCCAGACATACATTCTTGGTGGTAATTTTTACTGTTCTCTTCACAGACTGTATTAAAAGAACTTGGTCATAGCAAAATTCAGCTGGAGACTACAGCCTTTGATGTCCAGTTCTTCATTTCTGAATATGCCCAAGATCTCTCTCCAAACCAAAGCAAGCAGCTATTGAGGCTTTTAAATACAACTCAGAAATGTTTTCATGATGTACAGGAATCAATAACTACCCAAATGGAAATTTTAGAGGCTCATTTGCATATAGAACAAGATCTCAGTGATCAGAAGGTTTGCCTTTCTGTGTGGAGTTTGTCTTTTTTGTTTTAAGGTCCTTAGTATGATATTGTAATATGGCTATCAGTGAATTATGTAATATTAGGAAAGAAGTGCTAGAAAGCCACTGTTCCATTGGTTATAAATGAGTGTTCATTGTACATAATCTGAAATGTGTTGCTTGCCTTCATGATGTTATAAAAACATTTGGGATTGATTTATATGCCAATAACTTTCCATGCCTGCCAGAAACTGTTTTCTCTAGTTGAGATGCTTCATTTTGGAAGGGTGGGAATTTTTTTATGTACACCTAGAGATATGAAGTAATGATGTCTGCCATATCACCGGGCAACATTTCTTTAAGGAAAATGGAGAATAATTTTTCATGGATTTTAAAAAATGGAACACACTTTGTATATATGGTAGGAAAGGAATAGAACCCCATATTTATCAATTATATACTAAGCATTATACGAGGCGGCCACTAGTTTATACTAGAGTGCCACAATAGAAATTATGTAATAGAAAAAGGAAAAAGGAACGAATAAGAACTTTAAACTAGGGAATGACAGAGAGCGAGGAAGTGAAAATGTTGCATTTGGTGTTCCTTCTCTTCTTGCTTAAAACACATAAGCATTTTCTCTACCAAATATGCTAACAACCAAATCACAACTAACTTCTGTTTTGATGTCCTTTTGCAGAATTAATAGTGTGTATCGCAGGTTTCAAGAGCTTAAGAAAATTGGATGTTTTCCTCCTGTTGGTCAGAAGTTCCATCTCTCATACATATGCATGGCCAGTATTCTGTTGGGCAATTCCATCCAAACATGATTCCTTTACTTACAGCATATGTGAGATGTATCCATAACTTCTATATTCACCTTGCTCCAACTGTATTCCACTGCTATCATGTTTACAGCATACTTTGAAAAGCTTCTCTATAGGAACCTTATAAGACTGTGTTTTATGAAGGAGGTTGTTTGTCTGCACTTTTCTTACTATGTACTTAACGGATTTTGGTTCTGCTCTGCTGTAGATTGTGGCAGAACGGGAGCAGGAGTATAAGGAAACACTCCAGGGAATATGTGATCTCCTCACCCAGACAGAAAACCGGCTGATTGGTCACCAAGAAGCTATTGTGATTGGAGACAGCAAGGACGAATTAAAGCTGTACCAAACCAAACAAGAGGTAGAGTGTGATTTTACTTCCTCAGCTGTAGGAGCCTCATTGACATGGTTAGTCTCTGTTCCATTAATTGCAAAGCAGTAAGGTGGGACTCGTACTGTTGAACAGCTGTTTTAGTTTTAGGTCTTAGGGGGTAAGGAAAAACTGGATGAGCCATGGGACAGTCTGAGTGCTGAGAGGTCTATTTTAAGGCATTGGTTTTCATCCTATATGGGTTCTGTGAACATTCAGCCTAGGATTGGGCATATGATGAGTATTTCTTGAGAGGTCAGCACAAGGGAAGAGGCATGATAGAGAAATAACCTATTCCATGAAGTAAAATTTTGGTCCACTTGGAATCCATGTTGCTAACAGATAGGGGCTTGATGATTTTTCTTTGACTGACACATATGAGTTTCTGATCTTATCACCCCCTTTTCCTGCTCGATCAGTTCTTCTCAGGCCCTTCATATATTTTATCCCTGTTTATCCCTCTTTCATTTATATCAAGTTGAAATGGACTTTGTAGGGGTGGTGTGGGAATAAAGAAATTCTACTAATAGGATAACATACTGACTTTTGAAATAGCTATACACATACTTAACATTCTTAGGTAAGAGTTTGAAAAGAAATCCAACTGAGAACTGATTACTCAGTCCACTAAGCTACTATCTTTAAATCTAATTTTTAACATTCCTACATCAGTCTCTTTAATAAGTTGCTGCTTTCTCTTATATCAGTTGTCATTAATGAACTCATTTGCATGCTGACAATTTACTTATCTTTGGTTCATTTGCAAAAAAAAAAAAAAAAGGCCAAAAGCAGTAAAACATTAGGTTTGATTCTAAGCATCACAGGAAATGAACTTAGATGTCTCCTAGTCTGACCTTCTACCTAATGTAGAAATCCCTTTGGCAATATTCCTGGCTGGAACTTGACATCTCACAAGGTGCCCAGTCTATTGCTAGATGTTTCTGATCAGAAAGTTCTAATTTGTATTTAACCCCAAGGTTCTACTTTGTGACTTCTATTTATCAATTCTAATTTTGATCATTGGAGCCTAAGAAATACAAGTACTTTGCCTACTTTTTTTAAATTTTAAGGTTATTTTATTTGTTGATTGGTTTTAGAATGCCCAGTCACACTTAGCCATAACTAGAAAACATGTGGTTTTGTTTTGGGATGTGTGTGTGTGGGGGTGGGAGCAATAAGGGGATGCGTATGGTATGACCAGTGGTATAGAGGACATTGTGACCACAGGTAGAGTAATGCTTGGAGATGGGGTGGTTTGACTTTCATGCATGTGGGAGTTGAGGGGAAGGTAGGCCCAGGAAAAGGGACACCATGGCACTGGGATCCTAGGGGTGACAATTAATGCTGACGGAAGCCCTGTGAGGCCGGATTTGGGAGTGATGGTTGTTGAGAGGGGAAAATATCCCTCCTTCCATGGATCCCCTACTCACATTACATTTGCCCCCATATTACTTATAGCTCTGGTCACTCTCCTATTAACTCACTAAGACCTGGGCTTATCCAGAAGCCCTTGTGTTTACTGAGGTCTCCCACCTGCTACTCCAAAGCTACTTGCTTCTATTTAGCCGAACACGAATCTGTTCTTTAATTCCCTACTGAGGTGGCATTTACTCTTTGAAACTTTCTTCGTCTCTGTTAGCCAATGATTCCCTTCTCACCCCACTCCCAACCTCAGCATTTTGTTTTGTAATTCCCTAATGCACTTATCATGTAATGTATACTATGATTATACACATTTATGTCGTATCTCTCTGCCTAGATTGTGAGCTCCGGAAAGACAGAAATTATGTCTTATTTAAATATTCTATCTCCCCAGCTCCTAGTACAGGACTAAACCTGCAGCAGTTGCTTGATACATATTTGTTGGAGATGCTTATTGAATAGGCATTGATTTAATCATTTCACCTTTTTCTCCCATCATCCTGTTTCCTCCTGACAAGGAGCTACAGAAGGAGATGCAGAGAAGTGCGCAGGCATTGGCAGAGAAAGTGAAAAAGACTGAGAAGTTCCTGATGGAGAGTGGAGAAAAATTATCACAAGAAGACAAAGCACTAATTGAACAGAAACTCAGGGAAGCTAAGATGAAGTGTGAGCAACTGAACCAGAAGGCGGAACAGTCAAAAAAGGAATTAGATAAGGCAGTAACCACAGCAATTAAGCAGGAAACTGAAAAGGTATTTATGCAAATACATATATCATTTACTATTAATTAGAAAGCTCAGTGCTCAATGAAGTGGCTTCTCATTGTTTTGGTGGAAGGATGTTATTCGGAGGTCAGGACAAAAGATGGGAATTCTGGATTTTTAGGGAAGGACATAAACTTAATAAAAAGCCTGAAGATATCAGAGCCTCCCTGCTAATTTTCTCACTAATTTTGTGAAATGAGTATAATGAGAATGGAGTTGTGAAATGTCACATTTTGACATTTTTTTATCTCTTAGAAAAACTATTATTGAAAGAGGTTATTAAGATTTTATGATACATTATTTTTAAAGGTTTTTATTTTATTTTTGTTTTTAGTTCCAAATACTCTCCTTCCCTCCATCCCCTCTCTCACCGATTGAGAAGTCAAGAAATAAAATACCCAGTATACATGTGAAATCATGCAAAACCTCTTTCCAACAGTTATCAGCTATTTGGAAGTGGATAAGATTTTACATCATGCGTCCTTTGGAGTTGTGGTGGATTATTATGTAGATATGATGCATTATTTGAACAGATATCAAAGTAATTGGCTTCTGAAAATAAAACTATAGTTGCAATATGTCCATCAGTCATTAAATGTTGGGGTTAAAGTATTGCTTTTGCAACTTTAAAATGGTCTAAATATTGACTATTGAATGACTTAAAGTGATGATTTGGAACACACACACAGTCCCATCTCCTAATTTCCTTTGCTCAGGTTGCAGCAGTAGCACAGCTGGAAGAGAGTAAAAACAAAATAGAAGATCTTTTGGATTGGTTATCAAATGTAGATAAGGAAGGAGAAAGGGCAGGGAAGAAATCTCACCAGGAGATTGAACAAAATGGAACTCATTTTCAAGAAGGTGACCTCAATTCCATGATTGGAGAGGAGGATGAATTTAATGGTAACTTGATGGAAATAGATGTTGATGGACAAGTAAGAACCACAGAGGAAAATCTGAACCAACAATACCAGAAAGTAAAGGTATATATGTGAATATTTCTGAATATTGATATAGTCAAATGTATATCTTAATTGAAATAGATGGCTTATCACAACATGGGGCATCTTTACAGAAAACATAGACTGGAGAAAAGTCCCTTTTCTCTATATGAGTTTTTTTAATACACACACATATGTGTATGTGTGTGTATATATACATATGTACATACATATATACACACACACATACACACACACATATGTATATATATAATGTGTGTATGTGTGCACACATGCGATTGCACACAGCTAGGTGGGGCAATGAATAGAGCATTGGGCCTGGAGTCAGTAAAACTTGCGTTCAAATCCAATGTCAGACATTTACTAATTATGTGACCTTGGGCAAGTCACTCAGCCCTGCTTATCTCAGTTTCCTCATCTATCAAATGAGCTAGAGAAAGAAATGGCAAACCACTCCAGTATATTTGCCAAGAAAACCCCAAAATGACATCATGAAGAGTTGAAGATGACCGAACAATAAAATATCTATCTATACACATATACTATACACATATATGTATGCAAACGTATATACACAAACATACATATATACATGCATACATATATAAATTTGTTTGCAATAGGGTGATTCCATTTGTATGAGGGACACCCATGTGAGGACATTCTCTCTTCTAATATAAGTTGGCACCTCCTCTGCAATTTATAGTTTTAGAGAGTTGTCTAGGGCAGTTGTCTCAAATAGGGGCACTGCAGGCCACATATTAGACTTAGAAAACCACAAATTATCTATTGTTACTTTATTTAAAAATATTTTCCAATTTCATTTTAATCCAATTCCTGCTATACTCCAGGAGTTTTGAGGGCCGAGGGCCATGAATTTGACACTTCTGGCTTAGAGCACTGAGAAGTTAAACTCCTTGAGGTTGATCACAGCCTGTATATATATATATATCTTGATATATATGTATATCAAGATTGGGACTCAAAATCCAGTTTCTCCTGGCTTTGAGGCTGCCTCTCTGTCCATTACACCATACTACCTCTTTGTCATACTACTATATGTAAACTCTGAAATGGATTTCATTAATGGTGGGCTCTTTCTACATCAGTGCAGATTGTACCTTTGCAATCCTATGCAATTCTTGTCCATGTCATTCCATAAATTATTTAGCTATCCATTTCCCCAAACAAGAAATAAGCTGGAAAATACAATAACCTTCAGAATCTGGAGGCACTATCATAAGGAAAAACTGTACCATGATCCAAAAGAAGGGGACATTGGCTAGAGTTGGAAAAGCGGGCTTCCAATATTAGCTGTGCAATTAAATTATTCAGATGACCCTAGTCAAGTCACTGAATCTCAGTTTCCTTATGTACAAAATGAAAGTACTAATATCTCACCCACATACATCAAAGTATTCTTGTCAAGATAAAAATAAGGTAATACATGTGAGATCAGATTGAAGTTAAAAAGCCCAATCATCAATATATTGTATCATTACTGTTGTGAAAAATGGTTAAGCACAATGTAAGAAAATTTAATTTAAGGCCACATGATGGTCTTGGGCAAGTCATTGTTCCCTTCTTGGGCCTCAATTTCCTCATCCGAAAACAAGGGGGTTGGACTAGATGACCCCTAAAGATCCTTCTGGTTCTGTATCCATGACCTTAAGGTTCCATGATGGCTATTAAATCAGTCTGTGACTCTATGTGGTTGAATCGGTGGAAAAACAATGCTGTCTTTGGAGTCAGTGAACTTGGGTTCAAATCCTTGCTCTGCTGCTTCTTATCTGTGTGACCTTGGGCAAATCTCTTAACCATCATGAGTTTGCTTATCTATAAAATGAGCAGGTTGGATTACATGGTCCTTTTCTGTTCTAGATCTAGGATCCTGTGAATTTACCTCATGATTCCTTAGGATCATAGATCAAAAGCTAGAAGGTCATCTAGTTTAGTTTCCTCTCATTAGAGATGAGGATGTTGAGAGAGGGTAATTGACTTGTTCATGGTCAGATGTATGAGAGTAGAAAAGCCAGGATAAAACCTCAAATTCTGCCTGTGCCTCCACTCTTTCCATTGTGTCAAGTCCTAACCACCCCCTTTTTGTTTAGAGAACCCTTTGTTAAGGACTTCTGTCACAGGATTCTGCATTAAATCATACGGTGATCTTTTTTTTAAATTTTAAAATTTATTTTCTTTTAGTTTTCAACATTCACTTCCATAAACTTTTGAGTTTTCCATTTTCTCCCCTTCTCTTCTCTCCTCCCTACTGAAGATGGTGTGCAATCTGATATAGGCTCTACATATACATTCATAGTAAACATATTTTTATATTATTCATGTTGTAAAGAAGTATTAAAAACCAACGGGAGGAACCACGAGGAAGAAGAAACAAAAACAAAATAAAAAAGAGAGCAAATAATATGCTTTGATCAGCATTCAGACTCCGTAGTTCTTTCTCTGGATGTGGATAGCACTTTCCATCATTTGTCTTTTGGAGTTGTCTTAGCTCCTTGCTTTGCTGAGAAGAGTCAAGTCTGTGAAAGTCAGTCCTCTCACAGTGTGGCTGTTACTGTGTACAATGTTCTCCTGGGTCTGCTCACTTCACCCAGTATCAGTTCATATAGGTCTTTCCAAGTTTGTCTGAAGTCTGCCCGCTCATCATCTCTTATAGCACATTAGTATTCCATTATCTTCATATACCATGACTGGTTCAGCCATTCCCCAGTTGATGGGCATTCCCTCAATTTCCAGTTCTTGGCCACCACAAAAAGAGCTTCTATAAATGTTTTTGTGCATATGGGTCCTTTTCCCATTTTTATTATCTCTTTGGGGTACAGACTTAGAAGTGTTATCAAAGGGTGTGCACAGTTTTATGGCCCTTTGGGCATAGTTCCAAATTGCTGTCCAGAATGGTTGGATCAGTTCACAACTCCACCAACAATGTGTTAGTGTTCCAATTTTCCCACATCTTCTCCAACATTTATCATTTTCCTGTTTTGCCGTGTTAGCCAATCTGATAGGTGTGATGTAGTACCTCAAAGTCGTTTTAATTTATATTTCTGTAATCAGTAGTGATTTAGAGCATCAAATGGTGATCTAATAAAAATCTATTTGAAGAGCTTTCTTTTGTTCCCCTATCTGATCTCACCTTTTTTACTCACATGTCTAGTAGAATGATGGCATTGGGGGAAGAAACAGAATTTTATGGATTTCCTAGAATTTAGATTTGGAAGAGACAGTTAGGTGAAGAGTTGCCCAATGTCACACAGGTGGTAAATAGCACAGCCTGTTTTTGATTGTGAAAAAGACATAATGGGAAGTCGATAGAGGATTCCACAGAAATCAATGAAATAAGTACAGGGATTTGAGTAGTAGTTTTGTCTTACCCAAAAGAGCCTTGGGATAGGGGTCAGGAGACTTGGCTTTAAGTTCTTACTCTGGATGAGCTTGAGCAAGTAACCTATGCCTCAGTTTCCTCTTCTGTAAAATGAAAGGTTTGGATGAGATTATGTCTAATACTCCTTCCACCACTGAGTCCAAGAGTGGAGATTAATTTTTAAAAACAAGGTAGCTTTATTGTGTGTTAAATGGACTGGAAATAACTAGTGTATTAAAATAACATTTAATGTTATTTTAAAGTGAGCCGTGACATTTGCTTTCTTTTAATTCCAAAAATATTTTGAGGGAAAAATGATGGTATTTTCATTAAACTTTGTAGAACACTGTTCTCGGGTATATAAAAATTCATTAGCATGATGTAAAGTGTGTAATATAAACTATAAGCTTCATAAGTGTACATATATCATTTACCTTTTTTGGTTATAATTTATAGTCTTTAATTTTTAGCATTTTCCTCATTACTTGACTCTAGATCCTTCTTATGAAAATTTACTTTCAGAGGGGTTGAGGGAAGGAGAGAGAAAAGGGTGTGGGAAAGTAAGAAGCAAGAGATGTCCTATAGGTATTTTAAACGCAGCAAGGCTGAAATAAAACTCATTTTCTTTTCCTTCAAACCCATCCTTCTTCCAGATTTATTCATTCAGAAATGACCATTCTTATTATAGATGCTCAGATTCACAATATCAGCATTTTCCTTGACTTTTTACTGTTTCTCACTGTACCATATCCAATCAGTGTTTTCTGACTTCACAGCATCTCTCTTATATCTTCCTACTTAAACAGCCCCTACCCAAGTTTAGGCCCTCATCGTGCTCATCCAGGCTGTTACAATAGCCTCCTAATTGGTCTCCCTTGCTCAAGTGCCTCCTTACTCCAGCCTGCTAAGCTGCTACACAAAGCTGCTAAAATTATTTTTCTAAAGTACAGCCTGACCACATCACTCCCCTAAATCAATGACGTCCTCTTGCCTTTGAAATTAAATATGAACTCCTCTGTGTGGTTATGAAAGCTCTTCAAAACCTGGCTCCAACTTACCTTTCTAGCCTTCTTGCGTCTGTAGTGTAAGCATACTAGCCTTTTTTGCTGCTCCTCACATGTGACATTTTTTTTTTCTGTGAGGCAATTGGGGTTAAGTAACTTGCCCAGGGTCACACAGCTAGTAAGTGTCAAGTGTCTGGTTTGAGACTGGGTTTGGACTCAGGTCCTCCTGACTCCAGGGCACTATCCACTGTACCACCTAGCTGCCTCCACACATGATATTTCATCTTCAGTTTCTATTCCTTTGTACAGGCTGCCCTCATATGTAAAAGCTACAACTTCCTCGCCTTAACCTCTCAGAATCCCTGATTTCCTTACTCTGCTCAAGTGTTGCCTTCTTCATGAGGCTTTCCCCAATCCCCACCATAATCTCTGCTTTGCCTTGATACCGCTACGTCTGGATTGTAGGGAATTCTGTTTATATTTCACATCTGAGCCTCTTGCTCTATTTTGCTACTAAGCATTCAGATGTTCCACTAGAATTTTGTGCTTTATAAAAACCAACATAAAGTGTCTATGTATTTGACTCCTGAGCAGCTTTCACATGACGCTCAGTATCTACATATTTTTTGAGACTCTTTCATTTCTCAGTCACTGAGCCCACCTAGGCAAGCTGGGAACCTCACCGTTTTGACGCCATTCAGATTGTTGTTCCTACTTCCTCACGAACATGAGGCTCACAAATATCTAAGAAGTAGAAGTGTAGTTATGTGTCTGTCAAATTACATAAAATCTATAGAAGAATCCATAGAAATGGTACTATCTTCCAATAAACAGCTGAAATTTGTTAACCTCACATATTTATTGTTTTTAATTATTTTTATCATTACCTCATGTTTAAGATCTTATATAAATTCCTTTGTTTTTCTTTTAAATCCTCCACGCTCAAACTCCAGTCTGCCTTTTCCACCTTGTTAAGATGTCCTATATTATGACTTTTCCTATACTCCGAGGTCCAGCCAGATTGACCTTCTTGCTATTTCTTATACATAACACTTCCATCTCTGGCCCTCCCGGGGATATCTTCCCTGATAGCCATGCCTTTGTCCTAGTTGTCTCCAATATCTGCAATACACTCCATCCTCATCTTTAAGTTTTATTCCACATTTTGCTCAGGAAACAAAAAAGAAACAACCAAAACCAAACCAAACTAAAACCAAAACTCTTCTTAAGTACACTCTTCTACACAAAACTTTTCTTATTTAGTACAGTTGTATATTATGATGAGCTCCCAGCAACATCTCTCCAATGTAGCTTCTCAGTATTTTATCTCCTACTTAAGTTATTGTAGTTGCTTTTCCTTTCCTCCCCTCTCCAGTTTCTCTGGCTCTTAGCTCAGTCTAGCTTGCCACTCTCCTTAAAGTTCTCCAGAGCTCCTGTTTGACACATCTTATCCTGATTCTGTAGTTGTCCCGGTGCCCTCTCCCTCAGACCTCAGCAGGCATTGTCTCAGATGGCATGGTCTCAGGTTGTTCTGCTGGCAAAGCTTACCCTTGAAGCAAGGGAAACGTATGTACATATACATATACATATACATATACATATACATATACATATACATATACATATACATATGCATATACATATACATATACATATACATATACATATACATATACATATACACATACATATACACATACATATACATATACATATACATATACATATACACATACACATACACATATACACATACACATACACATACACATACACATACACATACACATACACATACATACGTATACATATATGTGTATATGTACACACACAGACACATATATTTATAACTCCTCTGTTTGGTCTAGAGACTCATACTAGCTCTAGTGCCAATGCAATGCCAAAGAAAGGACCTGGCTTTGTATTACTCCCTTGCAGTAGTTCTTCCGATCTCTGTGCTCGTAGGAAAATGTCCGTCCATTAAACACACTCCACTAACCTCCCAGTTGTCGCTTAAAGCCTACAGGCAACTTTGCAGGTTCATTCCTCCCAGTTCTTCATCCCTAGCTATGGAGACGGGTCAGAGAAGCCAAGTGTAATCCCAGGCAGCTTCCTGCTACATCCATGATAGAAGAAATGAAGAGAGAGCCTTACCTATAGAACTAGATGGAGAGGGATAAAATTTTATAGTCATACTACACATTCATTTTAAAATAGTGTTAAAAATTGGTCTGGAAATGATGATTGTCGCTTGGAGAAATTAAGAAATTCTCTAGAATCACTAACACATTATTTTTCAAAGTTTTATTAAGTGCCTTTTGTATTTAACATGATAGACATTTCTTCATATGTTCTGTTCCAGTGAGCCCTCTTTCTGACAATAAAAATATAAAGGCAAAATTGACCAGCAAAATAACAGCATCAAACTGCATATGCAACCTATTACTTCCATAGGCCCCTACTGCTCTTTTAAGAGGAAGGCATTGTGTTTTCCAGTTTTTCCAGCAGTTTTTGTCAAATGATGAGCTTTTGTCCTGAAAGCTTGGATCTTTGGGTTTATCAAACACTAAACTGTAATCAATTATTCCCATTTTAAAGGTGAGGCAAATGAGGCTAAGAAGTTAAGTGTCTGAGGGAACATTTGAACTTGGGTCTTTGCTTCGTAGTCTAGCACTGTTTGTGTTTCCCATTTGCTAGTGGAATATTTAGCTACCTCTAAATATTTTTTGAACTTGAAAATGGTAATTTTTGGGGGTACAAATCCATGAAATTGGACAGAAAACTTTGAATCAATTTGGCTCTTCACTTTCAGGATGCCGGTTTTGAAGTGAACTTAGATTTTCACGTTCCTTCTAGGCGCAGCACGAGAAGATTGTTTCTCAGCATCAGGCAGTTATTATAGCTACTCAGTCTGCACAAGCTTTACTTGAGAAGCAGGGTCACTACCTGTCTTCAGAAGAGAAGGAGAAACTACAGAGGAACTTGAAGGAGTTGAAGACGCAGTATGAGACAGCTCTGGCAGAGTCAGAGAAGAAAGTGAAATTGACCAACTCTCTGCAAGAAGAACTAGAAAAATTTGATGCAGACTACAATGAATTTGACAGTTGGCTGCAGCAGTCAGAGCAAGAACTTGAGAACTTAGAGGCTGGTGCTGATGATTTTGGTGGGATAATGACCAAGCTAAAGAGGCAGAAGAGTTTTTCAGAAGATGTCATTTCTCACAAAGGTGATTTAAGGTACATTACAATTTCTGGACACCGAGTCTTAGAGGCTGCCAAGTCTTGCAGCAGAAGAGCTGGTGGCAAAGGTGACAAGGATAAGTTTGACACTTCTGCAACATACAAGGAAGTACAGGGGAAATTGGACCTTGCCAGTGAGCGTTTCAAATCCCTCTATGCTAAGGTAATTTTCTCTTTTAATTCTGGGTAAGAGAAGTGAAGAATAGGTTATATTTTTATATTATTCATTTATTTATTTTATTATATTTATTATCGAATGAAAGCCTACTCAGCTTTCATTACAGGAGTTAAAGAAGCCTAAAATTGAAAGTGGAAACAGATATTTTTTTTAGCCTAGACTTTCTCTCATATTTCTCTTCTTCTGAATTTGTATATGAAACTCATGCAGACAGTGACTTTTAAAAAAAATTTTAATTGATATTTTTGTTTTAAAATTACCTACATTTCTTAACATATCTCCCACACAATCATCCATTATCACAGAGAACAAAAAAAGAGGGGGAAGAAAGATCAGAAAAAGTAACCAACATTAAGGAGACAGGTAGTTCTTCACCTCTGAAAATAAAGGGTGTGTAAGGGGAAAGACATTCTCATATCTCTTCTTTGGTGCCAGATTTGGTTATTATAATTTCATATCTTTCAGTTTCAGTTATTTTTTGATTGTCTTTTCCACTTAGATCATTTCAGTCATTTTCTTGGTTCTACTTACTTTACTTTGTACAAGTTCATATCTTCCCATGCTTCTCTGCATTCATCATAGTCATACTTCTTAAAGTACATTAATATTTCATTACATTCCTATACCACAACTTGTTAAGCCGCTCTAGTCAATACACATTTCTAGTTCTTTGCTGTTTCAAGAAATTTCTGTTATAAATATTTTGGTGCATATTGGGCCTTTTTGTCATTGACCTTGCAGATATGGGTAGTAGTGGATGTCTGAGTCATAAGTACATTTCAGTCACTTTGCGTTATTCCAAATTGCTTTCCAGAATCATTGGATTGATAGGTAGATTTTTATACCTATATTTCCACAGTCCCTCCTATACCAGCTATTCTCATATTTGACCATTTGCTGGGTGTACAATGAAGCCTCAGAGTTGTTTTGATTTTCAAAAAAGCAGTTAGATTTCTAAGGTTTGACAAGCATTTTGCCATAATACAGGTCTGTACCTGGGTTACTGCTTGGCCACTAGGGGGAGACAATGTATCAGTTGTAAGCAGAAATAACCCATATCTCTGATTATGAATTATCTCTACAGTTTCTCCTGTAAATATGTTCACTCATGTAAATGTTTTACCACCTAATGAATTGGGGACTATTTTAGTATTTATTATCTTTTTTGACAGGGAGAGAGATCTCAATTTTCAAATACCTCAGGAACATTTAGAGTTGCTTTTAGAATTCTTAACAAGGTCAGACTGACTTAGTAAGCCAAATCAAAACAGGAGGCCTCTCTTACCCTTTTGCTTGGCTTCTAGGATTTTTGCTTTTCACATGGGCATTACCTTGTAGAAAAATAACAATAGTAACACTCTAGAAGTGTAGGCTTTTTGGAATTATAATAATAAACAGCCTGACTTAAGGAGAGAATAACATACACACTCAATTGGGCATGGAAGTTTGTCTTACCCTACAGAAAATGGAGAGGGGGGCAACGGGACAAGATAGCAGGAGAATGATAGAGGGGAGGGGGCAATAAGAAGCAAACACTTCTAAGGAGGGCAGGGTCAAAAGAGAGAATAGAATAAATGGGGGGTGGGAATAGGATGAAGGGAAATACACTTAATTTTTCACAACATGACTACTGTGGAAGTGTTTTGCATGACTACACATGTATAAACTGTAGTGAGTTGCTTGCTTTCTCAATGAGGGTGGGTGGGGAGGGAGGAAGGGAAAAAATTTGGAACCCAAAAATTTAAAAACAAAAGTTAAAAAAAATCGTTTTCACATGCAACTGGGAAATAAGATATACAGGAAATGGGGTATAGAAATCTATCCTGCCCTACAGGAAAATTGAAGGGGAAGGGGATAAGAGAAGGGAGGAGAGATGGAAGGGAGGGCAGACTAGGGGTATGCAGAATGCATACCATCTTGGGGTGGGGGGAGGGACGAGATGGGGAGAAAATTTGGAACTCAAAATCTTGTGGAAGTGAATGTTGAAAACTAAAAATAAATAAATTAACGATAAAAAAGGAAAAAAATAAACAGCCTGAGTTGGATAGAGGGAGGCTGAGAAAAAAACAAAATAGTTATTATATTCATGTCCAGAAGGGCAAAAATATGCCTCCTACAAAATTTCTTTTCTAGGTTAAAACCCTAGAATCAGGAATTTTAGAGATGGGAGTCCAACGCTTTCATCTTATAGATAAGGAAAAATAGTTGAAAGATGTTTTTAGGGCTTGTAAAAATAGGTCAGCGATTTAGCTAATGTTAAATTTGTAATGAGGGATAATTTATAGTGTGTCCTTAATAAATGATATATTCTTTAATCCATCAGTTTCACTGTAATAATTTTTTAAAAATACAATAAATGCTGTTCTTTTTCAATCAGTAGCATTATAATGATACATGGAAGAATGTACAGATACCAAGTAATTCCTGTTTCACCTTTTCCAATTCTACATGTAATTCTTGTTCATTTTTAAGTGGATTTTTTTATATGATTAATGGAGGGTATCCTGGTGAAGAACTTCGTGTACTAAACAGAGTATTACTTTCTCTGCCACCCAATATGTAACTTTCTTTTTTTTTGCTGAGGATAGAGTAGTCACTCATCTCTGGGTTCAAGCTCCCACCCAGAAATATGAAGATGTCCTTTATCTGAACTATGCTGGAACCAATAGTTCACAAGGACATAGATTTAGAGTTAGAAGGTCCTTTAGACATCTAGTGTCAAACCCTCAATTTCTTACTTGTATACTCTCTGTTCTTTTAAGGGAATTTTATAAATAGGGGAAAGAACTAAGGGAACATTAAAATTCTCCAATTTAAATTCTGTTTTTCCCCAGCTACCACATAGAATGTTCTCTAGTTTCTCTCTTTGTCCTAGGACAAAGGTTCCTTTTGGGCTCCTTTTGTGACAGAATGTTGCTCCCTTCTCTTTGATGGCCTTCAGCTGCTGCCCAAGGCTGGAGTCAACTCTCATATCTTCTCAGGGCTCTTTGTAGCATTTTCTGGTAGCATCTTCTCAACATATCGAGTAATAAGAATTTCCTGCTGGCCAAGTAGAGATCTACTCTCTCTAGCTGCTCTAGGGTAACCCTAAGAGATTCTTCTTGTAATTTGGCTGAGATTATTACACCTTTTCCCAGTGGAGCTCATTACTCTGTCAGCAAAGTAATAGACCCAAAATTCACCCTTACTACCACAGCTCAACCAGGAGGATTATTTTAATGTCACTTTTGAAGAAAAAACATAATCTCTAACCTTGAAGCCCTTTCCCCTCAGATCCAGAAACTTGGAAGTTTCTAGTGTAGATTTCACACTCAAATAGAATAAATAAAAATCTGAAGAGCCTTTTAAATTCTAATACCAGGATGGGTAGGTATCTTCGACCCAAGAGACTATTCCCACTTTTTTATGCTCCTGGAAAGCAACCCAATTGTTACCTAGTTTCTATTATTAACCAGTAGGTTAAAGTTATTCAAATCATTCAAGGTATTAACTACCTGCTCTGGTTTGTCAAATCCTGATTTGAAGCCACTCTTCAGTAATTCTTAAAGACATTTATGTCTTAAGGCTAACCTTATATATGTGAAAATATTGCTAAGCTTTGATTTCTCTGATTATAGTGCATTTACCATATCTAGTGAACTGTCATTCAGGTATTGCTTAACCTCCCTTATTATTTTGGTGACTGAGAGTAATTCAAAACATCAAAAAGTGGTAGTTATTTTTTGTATAGTCTTTAGGTTTTTAACTAAAGCTCACTGATGTTTAAAATTTACATAGGTATGTTTTTGAATGGGTAAAAACCAGAATTGTCTCTTGACATGCTTTGACTCGCTGGAAGAAGTATTCAGTTGAACTGACTCTAAGTTAAGCCAAGTGGAATGCACTCTTATCCATCTGGGGCATTTCAGTCACTTTGGCTAATTCTTGAATGAAATTTTTAAAAACTGCATTATCCAAGGTGTTGCCTTCTGAAAGCCACTTGGATACAGATGCCAGCAATCATATATAAAGTATTCTTAAACATTCCCTTCTAATCACTCAGTGCAATGTCCTTGGAAACAATCTGAAAGACCTGGTAGATAAATATCAGCGCTATGAAGATGCCTCTTCTGGACTTCTTTCTGGGCTCCAGTCCTGTGAGACAGCAGCAAACAAACACTTACTGGAACCCATAGCCACGGATCCAAAAAATCTCCAGCGCCAACTGGAAGAAACTAAGGTAAAAGAAGCAAGCAAGGAAGGAAGGAAAGGAAATAATAAGGAAAAATATCCATTCCTCTCTATGAATCAAAAACCTGCAGGCTATTTTGTTTCTAAGTCCTACATTTATACATGTGTACAGCTTGGTGTTATGGAGGAGAATACAATACTTGTAGGAAGACAGAATGTCAGAAGCAGAAAGGTCAAGGAAAATGAAAAGTAGTAGGGATCATCAAGCAGGACATAATAGTTGGAGTGAACATTCTCTGAACAATAGGGACAGAAGCTATGGGGTTGAGGAGTAAATGTATAAATTGTGTGGAAATGAAGTCAGTGAGGACAGATTATTCAAAAACATGTCAAGAAAAATGAGGGAGACCTGAGTATGTCTGCATACTATTAAGAAACAGCTAGTAGAGAGGAAATAATTTTGTGATACAAAGACTACAGTAGTAATAAACCATAAGACTTTTGACTCAGCTAATTTATCTCTGCACTATCAGATTTCCTGGGAATTTGAAACTTTGTTGAGAAAATTTTCAGCATTGGGTATCTACCAGTTTAGTTCAGAAGACTAGTAGGATCTCCAAGCTAATTTTCTTAGAATGTAGAAGGGGCTAGGAAAGCCCCTTCTACATGAAGAACATAACATGCTTTTGGATCATTAATAGCTTGTCCAGTGGAGAGCATTGCGTACTGCTCTTTAATTAAAAAAATTCAAACCAGTAGTTTAAAATATCTCTTAGCATACCTAACAACATAAAAAATACATAAAGTAGGTTAAAATGTAAAATCAAGCAGTTGCTACACAACTCTTTTGCAAAGAACTTGTAAATAAGAAAGTAGAAGAGCAAGATTGAAGTAGAAGGTATAAGCACAATCGAAGAAATGCAGATTTGTGTTGAAAATCACAAGTTGCAAGTTGCTAAAGATCTGACATGAATATTTTTGGTTTTTCCGACAAAGAATAGTTAGAGGAGAAACTTCTTTATAATCCTATTATAACTGGGGTTCAGGTGAGGGCCAGGTGCCCCCAGCCAGGTGCAGGAAATGTAGCCTTGGGTATTTAAGTAGAGAGGCAGGCTGGTCATCTAAACATAGGCTAAGGGACACAACTTATATATTGTCATGTGGGGACACCCATTCTGAAAGTAGATATGGGACTTTTGTTTGTTGCAGTTATTCAGTCATTTCAGTCGTGTCCAACTCTTTGTGACTCCATTTGGGGTTTTCTTGGCAAAGATACTGGAGCGGTTTGCCATTTCCTTCTCCAGCTTATTTTACAGATGAGGAAACTGAGGCAAACAGTATAAAGTGACTTACCCACAGTCACACAGCTAGTAAGGGTCTGATTTGAACTCAAGTCCTCCTGACTCCAGGCCTAGTGCTTTTATCCACTGTGCCACCTAGCTGCCCCACAGATTTGGGACTAGGGAATCAGCTTAAGGGGATAGTACACAAACCAAGATGGAAACCAAGGTATCAGTTTGGATAAAGGAGAATGGAATGGGTCATCAGTAGTAATCCAAATGGCAGGTGATAGAGTTAGGCCTTACACAGACCGAATTAGGACCTGTACGTGTCAGCATTCCGTCCAGAGAACTGGTGGTCAAGTGTAAGAGACCCAGCCATCGTGTAGATCACCAAGGTCAAAGCAGGATCAGCAGCAAAACTGACCCAATAGCAGTGTTAAGTAGAGCTCATTATCTGTATAACCCTTGTCTAGAACCAGGATTAATCCTACTGTTCACAGTGAGGGTTCTCCTGTATCCATTGGCTGTTTTTGTACACCAGTATGGGGGAGGCAGACCATTATAGACACATGTAAGGTCATATTTGAAAAATAGATTCCTAATATTCTGGCTGTCTGAATCCTTTATTAATGGTTGCTTTCTATTAATGTTTAGTCTAAAAATAGAGTTATAATAATGAAAAGTTCCGCTGTGCCCACTTCACTGAGGTATCCCATATATGCTGTGAAGCTTTCATTTGGCCCTACTGAGTGCCATCTAAGTGAAAAATCGTCCAATTCCTCAGGTTCTTCAAGGACAAGTATCCAGCCACCAGGTTGCTGTAGAGAAACTGAAAAAAACAGCAGAAGTGCTTTTAGACACCAGGGGAGCTTTACTGCCAGACAAGAATGATATACAGAAAACACTGGGTAAACTATTAACTTCTTCATTTCTTGATTCACTAGCTAAATGCAGCCAATTTAATAACTGTTGTGGGATTTTTTCCACTATAACATTCCTTACATTCTATGAAACCATGTCTCTTCCCTCCTTCAGAATGCTGCTCATGTTTGCCATCAGATCTTGCCAGCAATACCCCATGTTAGTCCAGCTATCCTGGCTTACTCAGCAATTCCAGGAACTTGTCTTTTGCTGTATTTGCACATATGTGTTTAAATAGATGCTTTCCTCTCTGATAAGAGTAGTGAACTCTATAAGGATGGAATGCATTCTTTTGTCATCCACCCTCAGCCTAGTGGAGTGATGTATATTTATCCTATAGTTGTTTCATAAATATGTGGGTTTTTTTAACTTTAGCTTTCTTGTTTCCATAGCAGAGTGTGTGTGTGTGTGTGTGTGTGTGTGTGTGTGTGTGTGTGTGTGTGTGTGTGTGTGTGTGTGTGTGTGTTTATGGATTCCTAAGTATAAATTAAAACACTTCAATAGCAAATGGTTAAATGTATTTCACAACAAGTATAACTTGGATAATTCTAGTAGCATATTTTAGACAGAAGGTAAGATGGGACTTTGTCTTTTTAAGTTGCTTTGTGGACAAATAAATAGTAACTCTTTTGCAGTCTTAAATACTGCAGGGAATTGTCCATGGGGCTATAGTATTTGAGAGACCCATGGAAACCCTATACTTTAGGGGATTTTTTTTTTTTTGCATATTTTGCCAGCAGATAAATGATTACTGGAGAAATTTTAACCCATATGCTATAAATTGAAATATAACACAAATTAAAAATTATAAAGGCTTAAAGCATAGTTTAGTGATATATATGCCTCTGGATGGCAATGTTTGAGTATTGAGTTTTGCTGGCTATGTAGCTAAGTTGCATTTTTTTTTTTTGCTTAGAATGTGGTATGGTGGCACAGTCTTTATATAATTTTAATACTTTAAGACTTTTTCCTGGCATAGTTTCATAGAATAATATAAGCATCCTAAAAACATTTTAGGCTTTCAAAAACAACAGCAATGATAATAATAACCACCTGAAACAGAGAGTCTTGCAGATTCTTTGTTTCAAGGATTGGCATAGTAGGGAATGGGGTGGTGGTGTTTTAGTCTATATTCTGTTTCTAAAAATAAAAAATTCACCCCATTTTTGGACATAAAATGTTTCTGTTAAAGAATAAGTACATAAGATGATAGCTCTACAGCTAGAAGAGACCTTGGGGGTCATCTAATCTACCTCGAGCCTTCAAAAAATGTTCAGTATGTTAAAGTAAATTGAATAGCTTCCTTAGATTAAATAGGCTTACATTTACATTTTATTTATAAGGGCTTTCCTGTTTCACAAAGATGTTTTAGAGGAAAAAATCTTTTGCTGAATTACCATAGAATATCCAGTTATTAAAAATGCAGGAACATAAAGGTAACTTTAACATCCTGAAATAATTATGAGTACTCTTGGTGAATGACTGATAAATAAAATACTTGATTAAAAACAGATAACTTGGCTTTTCCTGGGAAGAGATGATGAATACATTAAAAGTCAATGTCTTTGAACTTTTTAGTATTCTAAGATCTATGATGTAATAATATTATATGCATTAGTATTGAAATTCAAAGCTCCTTGCCTAAGTTAAATCACTGTGTGCATATTTACATCTCTAAACTATGCTTTAAGCCCTCATAACTGAGAATATATTTTAATCTATAGCATATGGGTTGAAATTTCTCTAGTAACCACTGCTTGCTTCTCTTTTCTGCTGGTAAACATATGCAGAAAGACCTGAGTGTGATACTTCATTGAAATCACAACCTGTATTCAAGGAAAAATCTACATGGCAATACTTGATATTTTCTTTGTATTTTAAGTGAATTTTGTATGCTTTTCTTTTCTCCTCAAATCCCCTTATGAATGTATACATACAGTGAGTACTTAGCAGGTGAAGAATGTCCAAGTTGTTGGTTGAACACTTTTCAAGGGCAGAGCTTCATAAATCTTGACAGCTTTGTTTACTGTTTCTTATAAGCAGCTGTCTGTGGCTGGAACCTTTTTCCAAATAGTTTTCAATAACTGTAGTTAATTTGAAGTGACAGATTGAGAGTCAATCTTAACTTCAGATGTTCACTGCTCTGATCTCTAAACAGTACTACATTAATTCTGTCATGGGGGGAGGTATGAGTACATTTATGGCTACAAATTAAATTGCAAATGCAGATATACAGGGTGTCCCAAAATTCTTAGCGAAGTTTTAAGCTTTTGTAGTTTAAAATTTTTTGAAAGTTTTATAGCTTAAAACCACACTAAGGCTGTTGGAACATCGTGTGTGTGTGTGTGTGTGTGTGTGTGTGTGTGTGTGTGTGTGTAGAGAGAGAGAAAGAACAGTTCTTACAGATTTGTCTTTTAGCATTTTGACATCATTAAATTTTAGTTTCTGTGATGTTATATAGGATTTGTCATTTAACACTGTTGCTTTTTCAATTGAACTTTCAAATGTTTGAAATGCTATTGAGCATATTCCTTAAAAAGTGAAAAAGCAGGGAAAGAATTTTGGTAAATCTTCTCATGCTTTTTTTTTTTATCAGATGACATTGTTGGGAGATATGATAATTTGTCTAAGTCTATTAATGAGCGGAATGAAAAACTCCAGGTTACCTTAACCCGATCCCTCAGTGTGCAGGATGGTTTAGATGAAATGTTGGATTGGATGGGAAGTGTTGAAAAATCTCTGAAGGAGCAAGGTCAAGTGCCCTTAAACTCTGCTGCTATTCAAGACATCATCAGTAAAAATATGGCAAGTGTTATTAAAAAAACAAAATAATCTTTCTTCTTATGGATGGAAAAAAGAGGTCATGTGGTCATATAAGAATGGATAGATTTAAGAAGAGTTTAAGACAAACAGGAAAATAAAAGTTGTTATAACTAAATGTTGAAAAATATTGCTTTTAAACACACATATGTGCACTGTCATAAAAAGGTAAAATCATTTCTCTTGATAGCCATATGCACATTTTCATGAATTTTACATAATTTGCAGTGTTTACAAGGTGTTCTGCCTTGTTTATCTCTGGTCCAACCAGCTGCACATAGGTCAATCAGACCAACCTTTTTGTCGTCTATCCTTTTAAGACTTCTGACCATGGATAATCCCTAGGCTCCATCGGATCCTGGGGTTTGTTGAATGGCGGTTCCTTCCCTTGCCTTTCCTGCAGCATGCCAGCTGTTCTCTTCTTTCCCTTAGAGAGAGATATGGGGATTCCTTAGGGGAAAGTTTAGACTTGTAATTCAATCCCAGTTAGTGTTCTGTAGTCTCAGGTTATTCAAGCCTGAAACATTAAGAATGTCAGTTTCTTAAGCTCTCTGATTTTATTTGTAAATATGCAATGTGTGGTTTGTTTTAGATGATGGAGCAAGATATTGCAGGTCGCCAGAGCAGTATAAAAGCCATGAATGAAAAAGTAAAGAAATTTATGGATACCACAGACCCTTCTACTGCATCCTCTCTACAAGCCAAAATGAAGGACCTGTCAGTTCGATTTTCAGAAGCCAGTAAAAAACACAAAGAAAAACTGGACAACCTGGAGAAGCTGAAAACCAAAGTCGAATCATTTGAAAGACTTTCAGAAAAGCTTCAGTCATTTTTTGAAACAAAAGCTCAGGCTCTTGCTGAAATGGATGGTCCAGGAAAAGATGTTATTGAATTGTCTCAGTGTATTCAAGTAGGTCTTCTGACACTTAAGAACTCATGCTCATTTAGTGAATTGGAATCATGCACAAGTTTATAAATTCATAACTTGTGAATAACTACAATATAGGGTCACATTTTAAGTGTTCTTAAGTTACTTTATAGCCAAAAAAGTCTTTTATTTATTTATTTATTTTTTGGTGAGGCAATTAGGGTTAAATGACTTGCCCAGAGTCACACAGATAGTGAGTGTTATGTGTCTGAGGCTGGATTTGAACTCAGGTCCTCCTGACTCCAAGACTGGTGCTCTATCCACTCTATCCACCTAGCTTCCCCCCAAAAAAGTCTTTTAAAGATCTTTGAAAACATTCCCTTCTCTTGAAATCTCTTATCAAATTGGAATGAATATGGCTACTCAGCATAGTATTAATGATATTATTTATAGCTAATGTACCAAAAATAATGTTGGCATAGAGTATGAAAAAATTTACAAAATAAGCAAAACGTACAGGACATATTTTGATGTTTATTTATTTATCTTCAAAATACTCCATTTCAGGCATCTTACCTATTTTGCGTACTTATTTTGTGCGTATGGATCTTCAGGGGTTGGGAGGCAGAATTCCTGTCCTTTGAGTAATGTTCTTTGGAACTTAATTTGCCAAGAGCATCTGAGAATATCTTATGATAATGATGATGAAATTAATTCAGTATTTTATTGTGTTATAGGAGTCTAGTAATGAAGTCTTAGAATGCAAAAAAGATCTTGAAACTTTGCAAAACCTCTTGAAGGAACTGTCTATTCATGGTTTCCCTGGGGATAAGGCTTTACTTTTGGAAAAAACAAATACTTTGTCAAAGAAGTTCAAGGAAATGGAGGATTCCATTAAGGAAAAGTAAGTATGGTTTTCTCACTTGAACTTTATTCCCTTTCATACAGATTGAATGATTTCTGAAACAAGCTGCATATGCACATAAGTATTGGAATGAGTTTTATACATTTCTGAATAGCCTTAATACTACTTAACTTGATGTTTTAATTTAAAAGTTTTTTATTCTATTAACACTGACTACATTGTTTGTAAACATTTTTTGAGATTCATTACCTCCTACACCTAAATAGTATAAATTTAGTTGAGAAGAAATTAGTCAAAAACATTTTGCAAATAATCCATGATGTCTTTTAAGAAGTTATTAGTCTCTAAAGCTTTTTGAATATGCTTTATTTCTGTTTTCCAGTGTGGAAATGACATTGATATCAGAGATCCATCTACTGATAGTCAAGAGTAATAAATTAATAAATAACAAAAATATAATAATATATTAAAAGAAAGAAATTATTTTAAATTGTGTTCACTTCTTAAAGATGCCTGCTATTTTAAACATGCCTTTTTCAACAATTATGGTTTATGGGACAAATAAGATATATGAAAACTTCAGAGGATTAATTTAAATTGAGATGAAGGAATACTTAAACTTCATCAAAATTAATTAGACTTTCATACTTTCATGATTTTGATCCTACAAAGGGTTTGTCGAAGTTGAGGGTAAAAAGTATAAACAGATAAATGTTGATTTTTAAATATATGTAAAAAATAAAAATCAGCTGATCTTACCTATGTCTTGAGGAAGCTTTCTGCTTTGAAACTTCTGAGTACTCTCTATCCTCATACCAATATCTTTTCCACCATGTCACATCACATACTTCTCTCCCATCAGATCACACACAAAATGAACTTGATTTTGTTGTATAATCCCATCAAGTTATTTCTCCTTTCAAACTGGGCCAATTTATAAGCTCTGCAGTTGTTACTAATTAGTCCAGCTTCAGGAATTTCTTATGTTCCAATATTCCACATACTTGTACAAACGCACATGTCACCCATGTGCTAAATGTCACTATTCTGCCCTTTGCTCATGATCTGGGTAGAAGTACTTTATTCTTATACCTAATCGTACTAAAATGTCAGATTCTTAGTGTTTCTCTGTTAAAAAGAGAACTAATTAAAGGTATGCAACCATTAAGCAATATTTTTACTTTATAGAGATTGTAGCAGCATTTTCTTTAATGTCCATTTTTGTCCTGTTCTTTAGCACGAAAGTCAGTGAGTTTTATTTGCTTTTCTTCCCTCACTTAATAAAGTTTTTTTCCTGTTTTTAATACCTTCTGGTACATTATGGCACATAAAGTATATAGACCGCGGCTTGTCTCTATTGCCTCTGAAAAATAAGTTAAACAATTTACATACAGTCATATAGATTACTCATTCTCCCCTGAAACCATTTTATATTTGTTTTCTTAACTGCTCAAGTTTTATTGGTATGCTTGGTATATTACAATTAAACTTTTATTGTCATATGGAAAAAGTCACCCTATAAAATGACAAAGCAAAATCTTAAATAAGGTTGCCTGATATCAGGTGACTCGTTCTGTTTTTATTGTATTAGGGATGCCTGCTGGTTCCATGTTTGATTAATTATGCATTCCTTAATACATGACAAATCCTATCTTTTTCCCTTCCCAGGTATAATATGTCCTGTATTGTCTGAACTAACATCTGACAACCAGATAAACAATCCCTTTGAAACCATGTATATTAGCTAATATTTATAATGATTGTATAAAACAATATCATTTTTAAAATTATTGATTTTCAACTTTTCTAGTACTTTTAAAAGTCATTTCCCATACTTGACTGGATCTGTGATCTCATCATTTTGGGTCCTCTTTCCTCACAGATGCGGATTATAGTCAATCCATTCTTTATCATTATGTGCTATTTTTGTTTATATGTTTCCAGAAATCCTCTGTATGGGACATACTCAAAATGTTAGAGATCTTCTCTAAGTTTTTTTCATGTTTAGTGCAGTGCTCAAGTTGCCTATCTGTTATTCATTGCTCTAGATAGATACATGACTAACCTACCTCCTTTTTTATATATTTTTTCTTGAATGATATCTTTTCTGTTCCTTGAGCATACCACACATGGTAACATGCTTCAGCCCACCATTCATTGCTTCATTGTCCTTTGCATTATTCACCATTTTGATTCTTTGGAGATTGTAATCTTGCATGATATGTAACCATATGCCATCACTGAGGGAGTATGGATGTTTACTAAAAAGATTTATTTGAAAACTTGAGATTGTTGAAAATCCTGCTGATTCCCAAATCCTTGTAAGCCTGCTCTCTTCATGTAGTTCAGATCTGTACCCAGCTCATTGTCCATATCTAGCACCCGTGCAAGAGAGATATATGGATATCCTGACTCAAAGGGTTGCCCATTCAACTGAATGTCATAATCTGAGCAACATCAGCATTGTTTATCCACTTCATTTCCCTCACGTGGATTGTTCATTGATCTTCTTTGAGTGACTATGGATCTTACTGAGAAAACTTGATAATATTTGGGGGATTTGATACACAAAGTCATTAGTATTGGGCAGACCTCATTGTCTATAAGGAGTCCCTCTTCCATATGAACTGTGGAAGATATTCTGAACAACGGTATTGAATACCTTTGGTAAGCATTTTTATGCTTCGCTTGGTACTGATAGAGGATGCTAGAATAATGTAATTTCTGTTATTGCCTCTATCAAGGAGTCTTTTAGGTATTAACTGACATATGGCAAACATGGTTGAAAGTTTCCTTGTTGAAGGAAACTTTTTACAGCTGTATTTTGCTCTACCAAGTAAAATGCTTGGTGTAGAGTCCAAGTGTGTTTCATTAAAAATGAAAACAAGTAACACTGTTTATAGAAACACTAGTAGGTCTGTTCTATTTTCCATCAATTTGTTGTTCTCTCCCAGGAGGAAGGCACATTGGGTTATATATGTAAGATTATATTGGGTTAGAGGGAGGGCATGGACAATAGTTGTACAAGGTAGGAAAACATATTTGGTTTGTGGTCTGTAGTGTTAGAGGGAGTACCTTCTTTGCTTAGAACATGGTTACAGAAAAAAATGTCCTTCTAATTTTATCCCTAAGTTCTTTCGAGAAGGACTGACTCCTCCTTTGCCATGCGTTCTGGAGACTTAATTTTCCACTCCATTTCTTTTCATAGTTTTGTTAAGTGATATATGAAGATTGGGAGAATATCGATATTAAAATTGTGATTTTTTATATCAGGGAGCAATTTGAGATCTCTGAATGTATTACATAGCCTGTTCATATTCTATCTAGCCTGCTCTCTTCTTCCTCTTCAAATCTGGACAAGTTTTTCATGTTGTAAATGAACTTGTATTTTAAACTGGGTTGTCCTTTGATGCTATATCTTTCCACTTGTCAAGAAGATCAAATGCTTATTAACCAGGGTTGTTTATGAGCAATTTTGACCTTATTGCTAAGGTGATTGCTTTACATTAGTTTAAATTTCTGTAAGAAATTGTGGCAGAGTTGATGTCTTTGCCTTTATCCATTTCCTATTTTTCAGTCGACAGCTTGTTTAGATAGATTGAATTAAGCTTTTACAATGCTTTCTTTCCTTTTTTCTTGTCCTCTAATTTGTTGTTAATTTTGACACTTAATGTATCCAGTCAGTGGTCTGACTTCACAAAGACAACTAATTAGGCAGGACAGGCCAAAATGTATAGCTGTTCTCCCAGTTTTCTTGCTCTCTGTTGGCATAACTATTTCTAATATTCCTATAAATTATGTTTAGATTTCTGATCAGTTTATTTCTGGTTTTTTAGCTTTTAAAAATATGTACCCCAAATTACACAATAGCAATAATGTTTTTCTATTTAAGAGAAAATGAAGTGAAACCCATTTGTTTCACAAAGAATGAATAATTAATAATTTCTGTGAAGGTAGGTAGGTTTTGTTTATGGCATAGAATTTACCCAGTCACTACCAAAGTCTAAACTTTATCCAGCTTGGGAAGTAGACAAGTAAGTTTGACTAGACTGACTTTCTACATAACTGAAATGGTCGAGGTCGAGGAAGTACTACTATTCCTTCTATTAACTGGACCACAATTATAGCTGCAATCATCCTCTATGGGGTTGGGGTATTGAAATATACTTATCTCCTACACTTCTAAACTGTGACCCTCAAGTTCATGGAAATCCCAAGATTAATCTGTTCCATTATGCCTTCATTGAATTCATATTTTATATATTTCTCTCTTTCTTGAGGTTGAGGTGCTGCTGCTTAAGTATCGCTTTTCATTTCTTGTTTCCCCAAGGAAGTCCTGGACTAGACAGATAATGCTGAGCTGAAAATTGAAAATGTTGAGTGGAACAGGACCAAGAATTTAGGCAGCTGAACAGCTGTTTGTTCTGCTGTATTTGACTTGCCAATTGCTAACAACAATCCCTTCAGTGATACCTTTTGTCAAAGATATTGCTCATAAAGGCCATGCACATTGATCTGGGACTCTTTTATTTTTGTTGAAATTATTTTCTGGCTTTTGTTTGTGTAGAAAAGAAGCAATATCTTCTTGTCAAGAACAAACAGAAGCCTTTCAGCTCCTTGTCAAATACCTAAAGACATGGATGGAAGAAGCCACAGAGAAAATTCCCATCATCCAACCCTCAATGGGGGCAGATGATTTAAAGAAATCTTTGGAAGAAACTAAGGTGAATCAATGCATGTTAGATGGAATGATATTAAATATCATTGTACATCTGTACTTGACTAAGCATAAGCGTTTAATAAGTGTTTTGGTTTGAATCATGTCTTTAGGCTATGTATAGCACCTTCTTATGTTTAAAATAATTATTTTAGACAGATTTGTTCTGTTCAGAAGAAATAGCAGATTTTCAGCCTTTAAATTGAGAGGAATTTGCATCTGAATGGATGATTGGAATGAATGAAATAACGGATCTTTGAAAAACACATTAAGAACTGCCTCCTAATCCAAAGCTTTAGGCCTCTAGCTATCAAATCTTAGTTTGGTTACGGTTTTTTTTTTTTATCCTGACCTATGATTTCATCAATGTAGGGAATTCTTTTTGTAGAAACTCCCTCCACTAATGCATATCAACAAATTTTCTGTAATTTATAGCCTTAGAACACTGATTGCTTGAGATCCTTTGGAATTAAGTAACTAGCTTATGGTCACGTTGCTAGTGTGTATCATAGCAGAACCTGAACCCAGACCTTGATAACTATGAGTCTAAATCTTCAAGAGCTTTACAAAATGCCTCTCAGTTATATATCATTTCATTTAAAAGTGTATTACTGTCAAATATATCCATTACTAATTCTGCATCATCGCACAACATATATGTAAGCCATAAAGTCATTTGGAGATAATGGTTTATATGTTCTATGGCATGAGTATTGCATGCTGTCATCACTGGCTTATCTAAGTAAATTTTCTTCTATTGGCCTCTGAAAAATTGAAATAAATTTTTATTCCACTTTTATTAATTTTTGAAAGATCAGTAATAAATGTGCTTCTGTGATTTAATTCACTTTTTTTTAAAACTCAGTGTCATTTGCTCTAGAAAAGTGGCTATTAGTACTGTTTCCTAGATTTACAATTAACAGTTATTTTGGAATACAGTGACAGCTAGTACAAGTAGAACTTTCATTCATTCCATGGAGTAGAGCAGAATGATAGAATGTGTTGTGACTCCTCTCTCACTGCTCGCAGTGGGATTATCAGAAAGAATTGGGATGCTGTCCCATTTTTCCATCTGCCCCTCAAATCAGGGCCTATCTTCATCATTGCTCTTGCTATGTATTTAAGAGATTGAAAAGAGATGTACAACTTTGAAAAATGTAACAAAGGTGAAAAAAATAACGTGTTTTTACATTTCAAGAAATTACAAGGGGAGTGGAGCTCGAAAACATCAGAGATTCAGAAAGTAAACAGCAAAGGAACATCATTATGTAACTTAATAAGTGCTATGACTTCCCCTACAAAGGCAATAGCAGTGATTAAATCAGGTATGTATTTTACAGTTATGATTTAAACCAAGAACTCATTACTCTTCACCATGCTATTTTTGTCCTCCTGCATATTAGTGCATAAAAATAACTTTAAAGAAATAAACAGAAAGTTAACAACAAAAAAACCCTGCATATACATCAGTCCTTTACAAAAACATTTTTTTGCTAGTTAGCAATATACCTAAACAGATAGGTTTTGAAAATAAAACTTTTTTTATCTTCATTTTATTCATGGATGCCATTAAAACTAATTCAGTGAATTTATTTATGTGAGCGATAAAAAGCAACAAATACTTTTTCAATTAAAAAAATTAGGACAGACTTTATAGTAGTCAAACTGATAGGCCAGAATGCTGTTTGATTTTGGCCTTTGTTGGAGGGTTTCATAAAGAAAAAAAATGCTGGTCTCCTCGGGAAAAGGGGAAGAAAGGGAGAAAACAGCTACTTTTGTTTAAAGTGTAGGTTTCTTGTTTTCTTCTAGTCTGTCTGAGTCTGTGTGGCATAACCACAGTAAACAATTACATAGTGCCTTAGACATCTGTGAGTTATATAGCTCAAAATTAAGCCAATTTTTCAACAAAAGGTTACTTTTGACCATTCTTTTAAAACAGCTATTCATGCAATTTTAGATTTGTGTTGTATCAAGGCAAAATACATTTATTTCATTTTCAACACCAGAAAATGCAGGACTTGGTGAGAGGGAAAGTTCTGTATCTTTATTTTGAAGGTTACTAAATTTCTTCTGTGATTTATCTAATTTGTCCATCCTCCAGCTGTCACTATTGTGACACTGACTCTCCAGCTGGACTTCTCCAAGGCAACCATTAATTATGCTCCATTAAACCTATAGCAAGGAAGATTCATCTTATATTTTGGTGTGATAATTTCCCTTTCCCCTCATGGTCGGATTCTGTTCATATAATTTAGGACTTAGGTTTTTGGGGTTTTTTGGGATACATTTGGCTTATTTCAGTACTTGTACATTTTACATTAAATAATAAAAATCTAATGCCTAGTTTTCTTCTACTTATCAGTTTCTAAATAAGGCAAAAATTGATCTTGTACATCCAAATTATAGTTGTACTCCCTGTAAACATCTGTGGCATGTTCAGTTAAGAACAGAAAAATCTTACTATGAAAGTTTAGAAATTTTTAAGTTTAGAAATCTAAAAAAACTTCTTTGAGATACAGAAACCCAGTCAACATAATGTATTTTTTTTCTTTATATGGTACATAAGGTCATAGGATTTAGAGCTGAGAGGAAGCTTAGAGATTGTATGGTCCAGCGTTTCCATCTTACATATGAGGGGAAAAGAGGCCATGGTAGAGAAGTCATATGCCCAAAGTTACACAGTTGTAAGCAGAGCTGGGATGTCAGTCCAACTGAGAGGCCTTTGAGAAGGGCTAGATAAATGTCATTACTTTATATGTTACTAATGTGCAGTTATTTTGTTAGTATATCATATTATAAGCCATTCTTACCATAAACTGCTTTTAATGTGGTGTATGCCATGTAATTTTGTGATTTAAAATCATTATCTAATGCCTAATGTTCTAAGTGCATATAATACAGAGCTCTTGAATCTTTGTTCCTCACTTTGACTTATTAGAGATAACATTTCATATTTTTAAATATTAATTCTTTAAAAATACCTATTAAGAACATAGAAATTTGTGAGGTGGTCCATATTAATTTCCACTGTAAATTATGAAATTTTTCTTTCAAAGCTGCAATATTCCCATTGTTCTCTTAGGTGGAACAGTCTTAAATGGTGAAGGAACACCCTCAGATGCGCAGGAATTCTTGACAAATAAAGGTGAGTAATAATTTAAACTACACATTATAAAATTACATCATTGGAAGACAAAAACCAGTTTATATTCATAAATAGTGCTAATGATTAGATTACTACTATGGGATGCTATTTTAATATTTAATGTTTTCTAGAGAAGAGCATGCTAGATAATTTTCATAGGGTTTCATAACACTATATTGATTCATTTTTCTAATGTAAGGCTCCACTGTTTTCCCCCTACAAAAAATTTCAGTGGTTTACTTCTGTCTGCTGAATAAAATGGACTCCTTAATCTTTTTTGTGTTCTGTGCTCCAACATATGCTTGCTGCACTTTCTCGCCTCTGTACCATTGCCTGTACTATTTTAAACACTTTTTAATATCCTTTCCCAATTTTATTTTTTATTAATTGAAATCCTACACGTTCTTTCAGACTCAACTCTGTCACGTCCTGAAATAAATCAAAGCCAAAAGTTGAGAAATAAAGCATCTTTAGTTGAGATAATAGGGTAGCAAACCTGCCACCCTGGGGGATGTCCCATGAGTGCGGAGCACAATGGATTTCCCAACCAAGAGACCTATGAAAAGTTCTTTGTACTTTTAGGAGGGAAGAGGGAGGAGGTTGTATGAGGTAGCAAGGCCTGGTCATGAGACCCCAGTGGCCCTTGGCAATCCAAGCAAGGAAAACCACTTCATTCTGGCTGTTTGGCCCTTCATGCCATAAATCCCAATGGAAGGGGGCAAGCACATTGGAAGCTGAGATCCCGCTTAAACTAGCTTCCTTTACAAGGTAAAATCTCTGAGTGGTGGAGACTTAGGGTGTGGTTCAGCTCAGTCTAATAAAGAGAAAATATCTTAAGAGTAGGAATGTAAAGACATTATTGAAATTCTGACACTACTAGGATTGTTAAGGGAGTGGCAATCCATGTTACATTTAGTATTAATAATTTCTTGTCATTATATTAACAATTTTGTTGCTCTCCCAGCTATCAAGTGAGAAGTGAGTCCTTCCTCTTCCATAATCTCAGAACAGTTTAATTTTTACCTTTTTTGTTTTTCAGTTCAGTCCAAATAAACTACTATTTATTAAGTACCTATTATATGTAAGGTAGAGAGGCAAGCATGATATGTTAGATATAGAGCCAGTCTCAGGGTCAGGGTTTGAGTTCTCTGATACATATTAGCTGTTTAACTCTGGGTCAGTCCCTTGACCTTTCACCAGTGCCTCACACCCCCCAACGGTCTAAGACTATAAGTTACAAATGAGTTGCTGATGTAATAAGTGTATGAAGTTTCCATACTGGAAGTTCCCCGCACAAATGAATTTTCAGGCTCTGAAACACATCCTCATAACATTTGCATATCTGTGTGTGCATGCCAGGGGTGGGTGGGTGGGGGGTGGAGAGAGAGAAGGAGGAGGAGCAGCAGCAGCAGCTAGAGGGAGAGAGGGATCACTTTAAGGATCTGCAAAATGTTTCACATACATTATTTCATCTGATCTCCCCAATGACCCTATGAAGTAAGTGCAGGAGATTATAGAATCATAGATTCAGAGATCATCAACTCCAACTCCTTGAAACTCCTTCAATTTACAGATGAAGAAGCTAAGAAAGGTTACCTTGTCTTACTTAGGGTAACACAGTTAGTGTCTGATACAGGATCTGAAACTAGGTCTCACTGACTCCAGGTACAGCATTCTACCCACTACATCCCTGGAAGATTTCAGATATGTATTATTATTATGTCTAAATAGTACTGAGGTGGTTTAGGGGTGCTGACACAGTTTAGGGGTGCTGGGACCCCCAAATGTCAGGATACAGGTGTCACCTGGAATGAATTCACACCCTCAAACTATCCTCCAGTCAAGTTTATTGTGATGCCAGTAGAAGAGGGTGAAGTTCCTTTGGGAATTTCCAAGTTAATGAAGATGATGCTTATGCTTATATGCAAAAGGGGTAGTGAAAGCGTCTGGGTGGGATTAAGGAGTGGTAAGTAGTCTAGGGTGGACCAGGTGCCAGTGATCTGGGCTGCTGGAACATATGGAAAAATTCAGGGAGTCAATGGAGATAGTTTTGGTTGAAGGGACAAAATAGAAGTGTTGCCAGAGCATGATCCTTGGGGATCAGGTGCCAGAGAAGAGTCCTTGGGCCAGTCATCCCTGAGATAGCTTTTATCTGAGGAATTACAGGGTCAAGTCTGCATGTGTCTGCAACAGGGAAAGATTTTCTCACAGGAAACTGGGTTGCTTCCAGAGACATGGTCTTAGCCTTTTGGAATCTAGGTCTTACCACCCCATCAGTATTATGCACTTTAGTACATGTTTATGGTTATATATCACATGTATGTATGTATGTATACATATATATTTATAGATAGATATAGATTTACATGGAGAGAGAGAGAGAGGAGGGGAGTGAGGGAAGGAGGTAAGGGGTAGGAACAGGGAGGAGGGAAGAATATTTATGTCCGTACAACAACCTTGTAAGGGAGGTAGAGTAGGTATTATTATTCTGCCATACAGATGAAACTGAGAGTCAGTTCTAGAGTTGGCATTTCAGAAAGGTCATCTGAGTTGAAGTCTAGTATTCTTTCCACTATATTATTCTTGAGAAAATCACAGCATGTACCACATTTTATTTCAACTAATTTCACTCCAATGAATCTAAATATATTTGGGAGCCTTAATATATTTTTTTAATTCCTAGAACTGACATCCATCAAAAAGAAAATGGCTGACATAAATTGCAGTTACGAAAATCTCGGAGTCACATTGAAGGATAAAATCTTTGAACTAGGTGCCAAACTCACAGTATTGCAAAAGGCTGAGGAAGAATCAAGTTCAATGCTGCAATGGTTAGATAAAATGGACAAAAAGGCAACAGGATGGGATACGACCGCTACAGATAGTGAAGGTGTGAAGACACAAGTTGAGCAGAATAAGGTAATTCATTTTGATGAAATAAGAAGTTCATTGATTAGTTTTCAGAAGAGACTTTTGACAGGCATTTTGTATGCTACTTCCAACCTTGTTACTTCAGAACTAGTAAGTAATATAATCACTTCATTGTGCTTTATAGTGGATAGTGTTTATAATCATTACTCCTTCTTACAGAAGGGTGATACAAAGATGAATGAGCTGATTGTAATAAGATACTTTGAGAACTTTTGTTTAGTTCCGATGTGAAAGTATTAATCAACTGTAGGAATCTTGACTTATTTGGAGCTAACTCTATTAATGGGGTCCCCTCTTACCTAAAATAGCTTTACCTTTGCCTATATTTTTATCAGTGAACAGTTTGCCTATGAAAACTATTAGAACAAAGTTTTACCTTTTTGTGATCCTGGTAGCAAAAATCTACATAAGATCAAAATATTGTATTTGTTGTCTGTATGATGTATTTTTTAATTCAGTAGGGAAATATTTCTGACAGAGTAAAGGTCTTATTCTTTCATTGGAAGACTTTGAGCATTTATAAAACCTACCTACTTGTTTTTCTCCCCTTTAACTAATTGATTAATTAGTGTCACCCACAGTAGATGGCAGGCCCTTGAGTTCAGGGATTCTTTCATATTTATTATAGTATTCCTGAGTACCTTCTAGTTAACAAGCGCATAATAAAAGGTTGTTTGCTACTGTTGACAGTAGAAAATTTTTTTTCTATTGTAAGGACAATCATTCTATCTATCATCCTTCTAATTTCTGTTTAAATCCATATTTTCTTGAGCCGTTAGCAGTGACACTAGGCCACCGTTAAATGGTAGTTTCTTCCTGTAGGTCATTCGATTATATTTCCATATGGATTTTGACTTAAACACAATATAACAATGACTTTTACTCCCACTTTGGCAGACAATTGAAACAGAACTGAAGCAAAATATGAATAAAGTGCAGGAGCTGAAAGACAAATTGACAGATTTGATGGAACAGAATCCATACTCTCCGGAGGCACCCAAATGGAGACAGATGTTGGTGGAGATAGGTATGGTGTAGGTGTAGGACTTGTATTATTCGTGTGAAAATAACAACCAGAGAGTTTTGTATTTTCAACATTATCATTATCAGAAAACAGTAAAAGCACACATCTACATAAGTAGTCTTTAAATGTTTTCTCTCATGCTTAATTTGTTTTCCTCTCTTTAGAAGGGTCACTTTAAATGAAATTGGGATGAAAATTAGCAGATTGTTTCATATCAAATTTAATAGCTCCTTTGTTTCTAAAAACCAATGAGTATCAGTTAGGAAGATATACAGGATGGATTATATTTTTGTCAATGATAAATTTTAGTGGTGTCAAGTTTTCTTTTTTCTAGCTTTTTGACATTTAGAAAAATGTTTATGTGCGTATTAAAGATGTTTCCAGGGATCTTATTTATAACATCCTGTGATTTAATTGGCAGTTTCTATCATAATACCCATGATTAATTCAGAGCTAATCTTTTAAAAAGACTATAGTGTATTTATTTAAACTATATTTAAATTATTTCAGTACTGTGGGCCAGTAGATGGTGGACAGATTTATGAAGAGCAAATGATCTTCAATAACAGGGTGTGGGTCTGTATTTTGCAAAATTTTAGCTATACAATTCACTTTACATAATAATTTTCTAAAAATGCAGCTAGGAGGTGTAGTGGATGTAGGAGTTAGATACACCTGAGTTCAAATACCACCTCATACACTGGCTTGGTGGTGTCTCTTAGCAAGTCATTTAACCTCTCTCAGAATCAGTTTCCTTATCTGTCTAATGGTGATAGTACTTATCTTCTAGGATTGTGGTGAAGATCAGATGCAATAATTTATGTAAACCATTTTGCAAACATTAAAGTATATATAAAGTATATAAATTCGAGCTACTACTGCTATCAAATTTTACATATATACATAACATGACCCTATCTTTACATTTCGCTTGGCCAGTATTTCCCAGGTACTTTGTGTGCCTTAAAGTTGAGAAGAACTTAATAAGGCGGCCTGGCAAGATGAGCCTTTTACCCATATCTGGTTCCAGCTTCTCCCTTGTTCCTGTTATGCTTTTGTGCTTTTTTTAATAGCTGGCATTTATGTGGAACTTGAAGGTTTATAAAGTTCTTTACAAATATTGTCTCATTTTATTTTCACAACAACCCTAATAGGTAGGTGCTAGTATCATTATACTCATTTTACAGCTGGAGAAACTAAGGCAGGCAAAGGTTAAGTGACTTGGGCAGTGTCACATGTGATAAGTGTCTGTTAACTCAGTCTTCCTGACTTCAAGTCCAGCATGCTATCTGTTGCCTTCCCTTATTCTGAATCCAAGCTAATATTGGATCTCATTTGAGATATGATTTTGCCCTCTGGTCTAAGATTCTATTCTTGTAATAATTAAGAAACTGATTATTGCAAATTTATAGATCTTAGCATGGGGAAGGGACTTAAGAGAATCATTGTAGCACATCTTCCTATTAATACTGCTAAATACAATGTTCCCGATAAATCTTGACTCTACTTGAACACTGACAAAGAGCTCACTACCTCACAGAGGATCTTGTTCCATTTTTGGACGGTTTTAATTGTTAGGAAGTCCTTATTTTGAAACAAAATCTCTTCACATCAATTCTGCACACAGACCTCTCCTGTCTCTTGTTCTCTTTCTAAACATACATGTTCCTCCCCAGCACCAATTTTCCTAAGTAGTTGTTATCTTCTAGTATCCATGGTTAATTGACAAAGGTACTAGTCTACTTTGGAATGAAAAAGTTAGTGTGTGCTGCTTTATGAGATCTTGTTATTAGGTAGTACTCTGTAATGAGTCTTTTGCTAAACCATTGATCATTTTTGTTTTAAATAGAAAGAAGAGTTACTAAGCAAGGGTAATTTAACATAATTTCAAGATTATGCTTAGTTTAGAAAAAAAGAAGAAAATGTGGGCTAGTTGGTATATCAGAAAATGAGTATTATGAATTTGGACAGAATAATGAGGATATGAAGTAATGCGTATGTTTTATGGGTAAATAAGGGCCGTGAAAAATGTCAGTTTCACTTACTGATGTAAGTTACTCATCATCAGCCACAAATTTATCAGTTGTCTTTGTTCAGATTGATTCTTGTGCCTTGTTGGCCTCTGTTAAAAACAGGACAAATGAATATAGAGTTTAGAAACTGGAGAAGAAAAAATTCCAGGGGAAGATTTTTTTAAAATCCCCACCTCCAGTGTTCAGTTCAATTCAATTTTGGATACTCCAAGAGCTGGGATTTTAATGTTATTTGATTTGTAAATTTTCTCCCTTATTTGGGCCATTCCATTTCCTTGTTCTAATTATGTGTTATCATTTTGATTTTATTTAAATTACATAGTATGAAGCTGACTTTTAATCCCTATAATGTCCATTTCTGGAGGTTGTTTCATTTCTTTTAACTATTTGTCACCTGCCTTAATATTATGTAGCCGTTCCAATGATGATAACAAGGACCCAGCTAACCTCTTGTTTACTGAGTGTACACAGAGCTCTTTTTCTCTGCATGATTTGTGTGAAACCCGTGGGTTAATACTTTTTTCTTAAATAGCGTAACTTAACATATTGCAATTTAAGAATGCATTCAGCACTTGCAAGAGCTCTGGCTGTTTTGCACCTATCAAATAAACTCAATATGCTGAAATTTTCAGAATGTTTGCTAGATGCAAGGTAAGGTGATGGCTGCTTTTGGAACTTATGACTGGCATGATTATAAGAAGGCCACACACAAAATAACTCTGGGAGTTCAAGGATGTATATGATAGTTGCCAAATGGATGATTCAGATTCAGGGGTTTATAAGAATTTTTGTGTTATGACCCCTTTTTAGTTTAGTGAAGTTTATGGATACCATATCAGAATAATGTTTTGAAATGCGTAAAATAAAGTATGTAGGGTTACAAAGGAAACCAATTATATTCACTTCAATCAGTATACATTTATTAAGCTCCAGCTGTGTGTGAGGCAAACAGGTTCACCAATCCCAGGTTAGGAACTCCTGGTATAGTCACCAAGGCTGTTATTTCAGAGGAAGCAGTCATTCTGGGCTGGGCGGGGCTGGTCAGAAAATGCTTTGTGGAGGAGGCTCTGGGACTTGAGCCACTGAAAGAGGCCTTCCTAATTCCCTTCTCCACAGCCATAGATCTTTTTCCCTCTAAAGTTACCTAAAGGAAAACAGATAATCACAATAATGATAGCCTGTGTTTATAGAACGCTCAGATTTAAAAAAATTCTTTCCTCCCAACAATCATGTATGGGCTACAGGGTAAGTATTATTATCATTGTTTTACAGATAAGGAAACTAAGAATGAGAGGCTAAGTGGCTTGCCCTTGAAACTATGGCCTGTATGGATCAGAATCTGGATTGGAACAACCCCCCCCTTTTTTTTTAACTGCAAGTCCTGTGCTCTTTCTTCTATATCTTGTTGAATTGGTGACTGATTGGAATTGAAAAACATGGGAAGAGAATAGCCAGAGGTGGTTCTGAAGTTTCAAACTGTAGTGACTGGAAACATGGAGGTGCTATTGAGAGACATAGGAATGTTAGTAGTGGAAACCAGTGTTGGAAAGATTAGACTGATTTTAAGCATGTGAAGTTGGAGATGATACTAGGTCATCTAAATAGAAATTTCCAGCAGACTGTTGAAGATGTAAGGTTTAGGCTTGCGCAGTAAGTTAGGTTAGAAAATCATGTGTTGTAAGGTGCTAGTTGAAACCATGAGTCTAAAGAAATAGGTTCTATGTTTATAGCATAAATAGGAATTCTCATGCTTATGTTTTTGGAAGGAAAGAAGTCTTAAAACTTTCTCAGAGCTGAGTATCTTTTGTACCTTGTGATCTCTGCAAAATGTTTTCTTTTCTTCTCTTTTACTTTAGATAATATAATTGACATGGAACCTAAAGGGACTTTGAAAACTACATTGTACAAATCCTTTATGTTTCAGTAGTTAAGTTCCTGGTTTGACTGTAAAAGCAAACATGAGGCCAAAGGCAGATTTCTGTTATATACATCCTTTGAGTCATTTTATAGCATCACATAATATGTATACCATGTGATATTAACAGGGTAAGTGAAAATGTTTATTTAATACTTTGCTGGGTTTTTTTTTTAGATTCCAAGTGGAAACAACTCAATCAGTTAACAGCTGATAGACAACAAAAGCTGGAGGAATCCTCAAATAACCTAACCCAGTTCCAAACCGTGGAAGCTCAGTTAAAGCAGTGGCTTGTAGAAAAAGAACTGATGGTCAGTGTGCTTGGGCCCTTATCAATTGACCCAAATATGCTTAATACCCAGAAGCAGCAGGTCCAGGTAAATATTACCTAATAATCCCTTGCTGTTGTAATAGCATTTGTTCAAAATAAAAATCTCTCCATTGTAAACACAAAACGTTGGCATTGTAAATGCTATAACTTCTCTGGAAGATGAGCGTAATGTCTAGAACAACCCCAAGAAATGAGTGGAATCCTGAAAGAGTGGAAATTGTGCTGTTTGTGGCCTGAGAGAAATCTACCTGATTATCTGAGTATGCTAAATAATGCTGTTGTTTCAACTATATTATGGTTTATTCATACTCCATTTAAGTGAGCTCCTTTGAAGTTTTATTAATCTGAGCATGTAAACAGCTAATAACATTGTTATGTGGAGCTAAAGTACACAGTTTTTACTGTTTAGAAATTGCTTCTTTGAGGTTTTATTCACTTAATTGTGGTTGTGGATAATACTGTTCTTAAAACCAATGTAATGTGGTACTGAGAAGAGATGAGCAGAATGAGAAGGAAAGGGAAAATTTTTAAGATTGGAAAGGAAGGACTGTTGGAACACAGCTGGTTAGAGTTAGACAAATCAAAAGACACATAAATCAACAAACAGACATTAAAGTTAGGTCAGACAGAATAGCAGAAGCACATTTTGTGGGAGTGAGTTCATTTGTGTGTAGGAAGTTGTATTGTGAAGCAGTGAGCCCTATTCTGTGACGTATAGAGACAAACTGGCATCCTTATTGGATAGTCATACCTCATGACTTGCTTAGAGACACACAGTTAGTATATATCAGAGGAGGGGTTTGAACTCAGGTCTTCTTGGCTCCAAGGAAGCTCTTAATCCGCTATGCCACACTGCCTCTCATATATACATCTAGTACTTTGTAAATCTTAAAATACATTACAAAATTGTCACTCTGGATTTCCTATGATGTGAACTTTCAGAGATTTTTAAAATGCCTCAAGTGATGTCACTGGAAGCAATATTGACTGTTTATAGTTATAACATCAACTCTACCCAATGCCCTATTTTCCTTGCAACTATTAATTTTTCCATATTGACTTAATGTATAAAAATTCACATTCTGGTTTTTTTCAACGAGTAAAATTTATAATTGAGTTTTGTTTTCATGTTATCATGACAGTCAAAGTATATATTATCTTGGTGTGATGCTATCAATCATTGATTTAAAGATACACTGTGGGGTGCAGCTAGGTGGCACAGTGGATAGAGCACCAGCCCTGGAGTCAGGAGGACCTGAGTTCAAATCTGGCCTCAGACACATAACACTTACTAGCTGTGTGACCCTGGGCAAGTCACTTAACTCCATTGCCTAGCCAAAAAAAAAAAAAGATATACTGTGATGACATGGAATATTCAGAGAAAAAAATACTTAAAAGTCACATACAGAAATGTTTAATTATTAGTGAATTGTTTATTAGCTTGGAAATTTGATGTTCTATTTACAATAGTAAATCAGTTTTTTCCCCCCTCCATTATCCTAGATCCTACTGAAAGAATTTGATACCCGGAAGCCTCAGTACGAACAGTTGACAACAAGTGGTCAGAGCATTCTAAGCAAACCAAGTGAACACCATCCTCTGCATGGAACTGTGAAAGAACAGCTGACAGTTGTGTCCCAAAAGTGGGATAGCCTGACAGGTCAATTGAGTGACAGATGTGACCGAATTGACCAAGCCATTGTTAAAAGCACCCAGTATCAAAGTCTCCTGAGAAACCTTTCTGATAAGCTAAGTGACTTGGATAATAAACTCAGCACCAGTCTAGCTGTGAGCACACACCCTGATGCCATGGAACAGCAGTTGGAAACAGCCCAAAAAATGAAGCAGGAAGTAGAACAGGAAATGAAGAATATAAAAGTGGCCCAGACCCTTTGTGAAGAGTTGTCAGTACTGGTTGGAGAAGAGTACTTAAAAGCAGAACTCAGTAGGCAGCTAGAAGGAGTCTTAAAAGCATTTAAAAATATTGAACAAAAATCAGGTTTGTGGGTTTTAATCAAATATCTGTTTATCTCTATGTTTCTGCTATCTTTTTGCTGGGGATGGGGAGAAGGGAGAAAGATAAGAACATATACAATATATATTGCCCATTTCCTTGCAGTGGATAGAGCACTGGAGTTAGGAGGACCTGACTTCAAATCCAGCCTCAGACACTTCCTAGTTATGTTACCTTAGGCAAGTCATTTAACCCTGATTGCCTGCCTCCAGAATAACCCCCAACCAACAAAAACCCCCAAAAGAACTTGCTCAACCATTACAGTAAAAGAGAAGACAAATTATGCAAAAGGTATGATCTGTAGATCACTGTAATGCCTACTGCCCTGAGAGCCTGTCTTCTTTCACTACAGAACACAGTCTTGGTCTGTTACTAACTATATTGGGGTGGTTTAAAAATATATACATTGGAAATATACTTTTTATTTGAGTTTGCAGATTGATGCTAAATTGTTTCTTCTGAGACAGTTGTAAAAAAGTTGTGTTTTCTGATAAACCCATTCACAACAGAAAACAAAAAAGTAATCAACTCTGCCTGAAAAAGGACCTACTTCATATCTCTTGTGCGCTGTAGTCTTAGCCTGGTTGTTATCAAAGAATACTCTTGTGCAGGAATATCTTGAATAAAGGATTTTTTTTTGACATTTTTTTACTCACTTGCTCCTATCCGATGGTGGTAAGAACATGGCTAGGTTTCCCCTAGGGCAAGCAGAAATGAGCTCTGGCCAGAAAGGCAAAAAAACGATGAAATTTCACTCTATATTTTTTTAGCCTTTATTAAAGGAATTCCAGCATCTTAAACATGGTTTGTAATAAATATTTGTCCCTTAACATTAGTAGCCATTTCTCCATTGTGACAGTGACTAAATATTCTTAAAAATTAAACAATTAGACTAAGTATAATTTAAATATTGATCATTTCCCACATAGTATCAAAGCATTGTTTGTTCTTTATCAGTCATGGGTGATTAATTTAGAATAGCTAGGTGGTGCAGTGAACAGACCCACTGGGCTTTGGGTCAGGAAGATCTGAGTTCAGATCCAGCCTTATGTACTTGCTGTGTGACCCTGGGCATGTCTGTTTGCCTCAGTTTCTTTATCTGTAAAATGGAGGTGATAACAGCACACCTACCTTCTAGGGTGGTTGTGAGGATCAAAGGAGATAACTGTAAAGTGCTTTAGCACACTGCTTGGCACATTATATAAATATTAGCTAAAAAAAAACCAAATCAAAATCCAGACTAAAACAACACCAAAAAACAGGGTTAGGCATCCTTGGTCCTAAGTTGTAGACATTGAGTGGCATTTGAGACAGACATACTCTACCACTTTGTCGTTTCACATATATTTTCCTCTCCTCTTTTACCTGTCACTCCCCTATATTCTTCTGCCTTTGTCATCTCTCTGTCATATTTCAGGACATGTTTCCATTCTTTCTTTGTCCCCTGGATTAGGCCTAGTCCTGGTGATCATTGGCTTCCCATGGGCAATGGTGGCACTCAATGATAAAATAGCTGCAGACCCTTATTTTAAAGTATCCTGGACATTCATCCCATTTGTTCTTTTTTTTCTTTGATTCCGATGTTAATTTTTACACATTTGGTCAATATCTTGTGACAAAAGACAATTAATCTGTAATATTCTTTGCAGGAAATCATGTTCAGCAACTTCAGTCAGCCTGTGCGAGCTCCCATCAGTTTCAGCAAATGTCTAAAGATTTTCAGGCTTGGCTGGGCACAAAAAAAGAAGAACAAAACCAATTTCGCCCTGTATCAGCCAAACTTGATGTCTTACAGGAATTAATTAAAGACCAGAAAGAATTTAAGAAAGCTGTGACTGACCATTATGATTCTTATGAAAAAACTATTGCAGAAGGTGAAAATTTGTTATTAAAAACCCAGGAGACTGAGAAGGCCGACCTGCAGTTGCAGCTTAACACAATTAAAACCAATTGGGACGGCCTTATTAAACAAATGACAGAAAGACAAGAGAAGCTGAATGATTGTTTGGAGAAAGCCCTAAAGTACAGAGAGCATGTAGACAACCTTAGGCTGTGGATAGACAAATGCCAAAACAACTTGATGGAAATAAAGGTTTGCCCAGATCCTGAGGAAACCGAGAAATTGATCACTAAAGTGAAGGGTTTGCAGAAAGAAATGGATCAACGCTTCGGAATGGTGGAATTATTAAATAATGCTGCAAATAGCTTGCTCAGTGCCAGTGAGACAGACAAAGAGGCTGTTAGAGAAGAGAATAAGACATTGATCGAGAAAGTAGACATGGTCACTGAACAACTCCATAGTAAGAAACATTCCCTGGAGAACATGGCACAGCAGCTGAGAGAGTTCCAAGAGAATATCAGAGAAGCCCACCGGCAACTTAGGTGTGCCAAGGAGCAGCTGGAAGTTCATAATTCCTTAGGACCTCAGGCTTGCAGTAATAAACACTTGACCGTCATGCAGGCCCAGCAGAAATCCCTTCAGGCCTTGAAACCCCAGATAGAATCAGCCAAAAAGTTTGCCCAGGACCTGGTACTGGAAGCTTCAGATTCAAAGGGAACCTCAGATCTCTTGTTAGAGGCAGAATCTTTAGAACAAGAGCACAGTGAAGTCAGCCAGCAAGTTGAAGAAAAATGTTCGTTCTTAGAGACAAAGCTTCAGGGCATTGGGCATTTCCAGAACACCATCCGAGAAATGTTTTCTCAGTTTGCAGAATTTGATGATGAACTGGACAGCATGGCTTCGGTGGGAAGAGATAGAGACACACTGCAAAGGCAGAAGAGTGATATCAAGAACTTTCTAAAGAAACTAGAAAACCTTATAACTGACAATGAAAATGCCAATAAAACCTGCAAATGATGCTGACCACAGAGGAAACATCTCCTGATCTTGTTGGAAGTAAGAGAGACTTGGAAGCTTTGAGCAAACAGTGCAATAAATTAATGGACAGAGCAAAGGCCAGAGAGGAAGAAGTTGAAGGGACTATTTCCCGGCTTGAAGAATTTTACAATAAATTAGAGAAAATTTATAATCTTCTCCAGAAAGCTGAAGAACACGAAGAGTCACAGGGCACCGTTGGAATGGAAACAGAAACAATCAACCAGCAACTTAATGTGTTCAAGGTAGGGAGATTTTTATTTTGTGGATGTTTTTTATTATTACAAGAATCAATTTCTAGTAAGTGTAGCCATGGGGTTCTATTTTTTTTTTTTTGTATGAACTGCAAGGCTAGCTGCTGCGCCGTAGTTGAATGTGAATAGTGATGGGTGTATTTTGCTTAGGTGACGTTGTTTATCTGATGTAAGAAGGGAGCAGGTGGTTGAAGGGCTAGTATAGAGGTCTGGATTGAGTGAATCCAGTGAATCTTTGTTCTTCCGGGGTAGCTCAGTAGAACGCAATTTATCTGGAGTCTGGGTCACTTAAAGGGCTGCCCTAGGAATTGGAGTCCTCTTTAGAGACATGAAAACAACCTGATCTTGGTGTCCTCTGGCTCTGATAAGACCTTAGCCAGATTTCAGTCAGCTGCTCTGGTTCTTCTTATGCCCTGGTTCACACCAGTAATCCATTCTATAGCAAACCAGTTTGATTTTCTTAATTTTTTTATTTCCCCACATTCTCCTCTGGAGTAAATTATGGCTCCCCCTGAACTTTTCACTCCCTTTTCATTTTATTTTGTGCTATCCTGTCATTCTTCTTGATTTGGTTTCTCCAATATCCTTCCTATTTCCTCCCTTTATTGAGTTCATATATTTTAAACTCCAAGTAACCTACTTATCCCTTGCTTCACTGAGTTAGTCCTTGATTGACATTACATTTGATGGTGATAGGAGAAGTGCACCCTCAGCAATGTGAAGACTGAAGACTAATGAGGTCACTGGGCATGAGAGAGGGCACTAATGATTAGACATTTATCTTGTGGGAATCAAGAATACTATTTCAGATATCATGTATACTAGTAGAATCTCAAGACGTATATACCATGTCTTTGTAAGGACACTTGAAGGTGTATTATACCATTTATATGTAAAGAGGAAGAAAATGAAAACCACAGGGTGAAAAAGTCCATTTGTTTCCCATCAGAAAAGAACATAGATGGAATAGGGTTCCAAATATATTCACTAAATCAAATCTTGTAGCAGTATTTTAGTTTCCTTTTCTCAGTAGCATTATCGCATGGCCTTATAGATCAGGAAACATTGAGGCTATACTTATTTTTTTCTCCTTTTTTGGCACCATTTTTTTTGTACTATATGTTTAGTAATTCAAAATAGTTCAACCAGCATCAAAGAATTTATCAGTAATGGACAGGACAACAGTTATTTGTCTTAAAGAACATTCAGTTTTCCAGATATGTGTCATAAATATCCCTCTTTCATATCAGATTGCACACTATCTTGGGGAGGGAGGTGAGGAGGAAGAGAGAGAAAAATTTAAAACTCAAAAGCTTATGGAAGTGATTGTTGATGATTCAAAATAAATTAATTAAACATTTAAAATAAATAAATGTGAAAAAAATCTCTCTTTCTTAGCCACGATATTCCACAACATATTTTTCCAAACTGTTAACAGTTTTATAAAGCAGGCAAATGTGAAATCTGTGCAAACTCACATTAATTTTCTCCTTTCATCTTGCTCATAGAAAAGTAGCCTTTAGGCCAGGAAGACCTGGGTTTTAAGTCCCTCCTCTGATAAACACTGGTTGTGATTCTGGGCAAATCACTTAATCTCTTAGTGCTCCAGTCTACTTTAAGACAAGATGCTTCAGGGGCAGCTAGGTGGCATAATGGATGGAGCACTGTTTTTCGAGTCAGGAGGACCTCAGTTCAAATGTGACCTCAGACACTTGACACTTACTAGCTGTGTGACCCTAGGCAAGTCACTTAATCCCATTGCCTAGCCAAAACAACAACAACAAAACAACAACTTTGTTTGGGGCAGCTAGGTGGCGCAGTGGATAGAGCACCGGCCTTGAAGTCAGGAGGACCTGAGTTCAAATGTGACCTCAGACCAAACACTTGATACTCACTAGCTGTGTAACCCTGGGCAAGTCACTTAACCCCATTGCCTTAACAAAAAACAAAAAACAAACAAACAAAAAAAGACAAGATGCTGCAAAGAAAGTGCCAAACTGCATCTTCTCTTTATCTAGGAGTTTCCTATACATAAAATCACAAGTCTAATTCCTATCCCAGTCCTATCATACTCATATAATTTGACGTTGGGGAAGTCACATCACCTCTCTTAGGTTTGGTTTACATATCCATAAAATAAAGAGTGTTTGACAAATGATCTCTTAATATTTTCTCTAGTGTTAACATTCTGTGATTCTTAAGACCCTTCATCCTCATGAAGTAAAGCACTACTTACCTATTGTAGTATTCTCAGCACTGTGCAGATTTGAATATCTCATAGTTGATCTAAATTTTGTAGGAATATTTCTGTAAAAAAAGTGGGAGTTTCTGATGCAACTTTGAAGCTATTGCTCTAGTTTTGGTTGTAGGACAATACTAACTTTTTTTGTTTTAATTGTAAAAATCAACATGAAGCCACTTAAATTTATTCAGGTATTCTTTGAACTTGTGTTTGAAAAGGTAACTCATTTTGTTGTTGAAGGCAACTCTTAAAACTGTGTGTAATAAAAATACACAGTGGAATGAAGGTGGTATTATATGTGGTGAATCTTCCTCCAACTGTACACAAAGATTTTCCTAATTCCCAAAGTGATTCCAGAGAAAAAAAGTGGCCTCCTCCTTTGGAAAATTACTTTTGAAGACTGGTAGCATGATTTTTTTTTTTTACCAAGTCAGTTATACAGATTCATTTATTAATCAATTGTTAAGAGGCTTTAAAAAGTTAAATGAATTGGTTAGCATTTTGTGACTTATTGTCTTTCTATTAATTTTAGGACAGTAGGAATTGACTGATTTCAGTGGATCTTGATAAAAAAAAATTGGCTATCAGTATATGCTTTGAGCTTGATTTGTGGTCCAGTGTAACACGTTGAAACAAAACAGCCAATTGTTTTCAAATCCTTATATTTTATGTAATTTTTAAAACACGTTTCAGCAAAATTTGAAATGTTAGCAAAGGTTACAACAGGTGTAGAGAATGATCTCAAGTGAGATCAGAAGTTCATAGAAACATCAGTTTATTTAATTAGCTCTAGTGAAAGAAAGTAATGTAATTTTTAAAGTCATTGTTCAGTGTTCATGTCTTACTTTTTTTTCCCCCATGGAAAATTTCCTACAGCAAATAACCTTTTTTCTACTCATTCTCCCTCTTATCCTTGTAAAGGTACACCATATCGTTTGCCTTGTTCAATGTTGTTTGTAGATATGGCACTTTAGATCCAGTCTTTCCCTCAAGGTATTTCAATAGTAGAACTTGACCGGGAAATATTCCATAGCTGTCTAAAATCCAAGCACTGATTGAGGTACATTGGTTCATGTGAATTGTGAACTAAAACAACAGGAACAGTGGTGATGTAATGTGGATAAACCTTGGATTTTATGATAGTATCTTTCTGAATTAATCTGAATTCAACTGGCAGACTGATTCGTTCACAACTCCGATGTGTATTTTAAACATTTCTAGGCATTTTAAACTTTAACCACAATACATACATCTTTTAGGAAGCCACTTGTGTCTTGTGGAGAACTTTTATGCAAGGAGACTGAAGCATTTGGAATTCTTGGTGAACCAAGGACCTAGACATGCACATACTTAGGAGCTGGTTATTAATTGGCCTAGTATGTGAAATATGATGTGAAACAAATGTGTGAATATTATGAGGGAAAGTATGCAGTCTCCTGTTGCTTCAGTGACTTTATAATATAATACACTTTTGACCCTTAACAGTTCCAGTAGTTTTAGTTTCCCCTAAGGTGCTCTAGATAAATTAACCCTGGAACAATTTTCCTTAATATAAAATGAAGTCATTTTCTTCTGAGGAACACTGAAATGATATAGGAGTACTTACTCTGGCACCCAACAGAGGGTGCTTTTCACTCAATAGGACTATGGTATACTACTGAAACTAGGTAATCTGAGGTGCAAATTTATGCTTTGACTTTTCCGAAATTATACAGCTAGAGATTGTAGATTGTTTAAAAATCTTATGTTTTTAGAAGAGTAAAAAAAAATTAAATATCTGAAATAGGAACTTAGAATGCAGTGATTAAAAACATTATTCTGAACTAGATATTCTTATATTTTTAAAAGTAGGAATAATTATCTTTAATTCTGAAGTGGAGAGGCTCTAATTTACTGTTAGTAGAATTATTTAGGATATGCCAAAGGCATATTAATCTCCAAGTTACTGCCTAATGTAATGCCTGCTGAGACCGATGTCATTTTGTGCGTTCCGCTTTTCACAGTTTGCTACTTTCAGATAACGTAGCCATTGAAACAACATCTCACAGGATTCACTTGAGCTCTGATTCTTTCTAACACACCTGACATCTCAAGCATCAATTTTGTAGCTATTTATGTTGTACTTCTCACTATAACAACTAAATTCTACATATAATATCACACACTGATCATTTTGCTAGTGGAGAGGTGTGAATAGCTCACCAGGATCATTTTGCTAGTGGAGAGGTGTGAATAGCTCACCAGGTGAATTTTGAAAATGTAGGTCATAGGTGAAAAACCATACTCCTTCCTGGCCCTGCGTACCTCGTTTAACCTCATTTCCTGCCTGGTCTGTGGCCATTCTGCTGGTGTGATTCAGGTACTCCCTCAATAAACAAATTCCACTCCCTCAATAAACAAATTCCAGTGCTAATACACTCATTTTCTTGTAGGCATTGTTCTATAGTTTGCAAAACACTTTCCCATTCATCCTTTCATTTGAATTTCACGAAAGTAACTGAGGATCAAAGTTAAAATGGATGTCAGAGGCCAGTTGGTTTAACTCATATCTAACCAAAAATCCCCTCCACAATTTTCCAGAGAAGTGTGTTTGTGATCCTATGATCCTGCCTTTGCCTCAAGATTTCAACAGAAAAACTAATATTGATATATGACATTTACACAGCACTTTAAAGTTTTCAAAGTGCCTTCTAAAACCCCATTATACAGTTGAGGAAACTGAGGCTTAGAGAGGTTAAGTGATGTGCTC